CTGTGACATAGGCCCCCACTCTGCTCTGCTGTCCCACACAGGACGGCCCAGTCTCACATTCCTCTGCTTTTCACAACCTCATTCTCTCACTCTCGCTTTCTCCTTCCTTCCATTCCTCTACATCTCCCTCTGTCTACCAGTCTATATTTCCATATCCTGTCTTCTCTCACCCCCATAACTTATCTTATTACATCTACTATAGTACTATTCACACACAGTATGCTTGTCTCTCCATATTAAACTTGAAATAGGAAACATAGAACTCACTCTCTGACCCTACTCCAAAAAGGGTGGAAGGAATGGTAAAGTGGGCTAGTGAAGTCAAATGCACCCTGACATACACAAACTTTCTCTCTCTCCATCCATTCTCAACCTGCAAAAATTAAGGTGTCACGTTTCCCAGTGGCAGAGTGCTGGTATGAAATATGGACATGTGAATAAAGGGACACTTAGCACCAAATCAGCTTTTACGACTGATTTATGGCATGCTGGTTCTCCCCTCATTTCATCTAAAGGACTGCTTGTTTTATTTTGCAGGTGGAGAGGCAAACTAAGGGGCGCAAAAGCTAGAGGAGGGCAAACATACATTGACTTAGTTCTGCGAAGTATAAATAGTATGTTCTCACAAGAACAAATGATCCCCAAAATAAATGATGTTACTGTCATCCAACGTTGATCCCAAATTGCATTCAACCAAATTGCTTATAATTTTGCAATTGTTTAGTATAAACATGCCACTGGTAATGATGACACACGTAGCTTACAGATTTTTTTAAAGGGTTTATTTAAGCAATAAGGCATGAGGGGGTGAGGTATATGGCCAATATATCACGGCTAAGGGCTGTTCTTATGCACGACGCAACGCGGAGTACCTGGATACAGCCCTTAGCCATGGTATATTGGCCATATACCACAAACCCCAGAGGTGCCTTATTGCTATTATAAACTGGTTACAAACGCAATTAGAACAGTAAAAATAAATGTTTTGTCATACCCATGGTATACGGTCTGATACCACAGCTTTTAGACAATCAGCATTCAGGGCTCAAACCACCCAGTTTATAATCTGGTTTATCATATACCTTTGATATCTCTGTTAATAGCCCTGTGAAGACAGTGAATAGGAAAGAGTGACACTGGTGGTGGATTACACATAATCAGCTCATTTGGCCTAGCTCTCACACATACTTACACTGACACTCCAACACACACGTACACACAAACACACACTACATACGCTCACACACACATAACATGCGCACACATGCATATGACGCCACACACACACACTCACACTTTCACACTCACCACATACGCTACTGCTACAGCTCAGTCTATTATCTATCCTGGTGCCTAGTCACTTTACTCCTACCTATATGTACATAGCTACCTCAATTACCTCGTACCCCTGCACATCAACTCGGTACTGGTACTCCCTGTACTGTATATAGGCATGTTAATTTTACTCATTATTGTTATTCACTGTGTTTATTCCTCCTATCACTATTTCTATTATATATATTTTTTAACATTATCTTTAACTCTGCATTGTTGGAAAAGGACCCGTAAGCATTTCACTGTTGTGACAAATAATATTTGATTTGATTTCTGTATTCAGTGTGCAGGACTTCAGTTCTCTCTAGTCTTATCAAACCTGAGGGGGACCAGAGGTCCAATGTGATATTAGATGAGGGGGCTGATGGGGTATGGTGTTGAGGCAATGCCCCTATGAGTGATGGAGGTAATTGGGTTTGGGCTGAGGGGGTGATGGGGAGGGGGTTGATGTGGGAGGCATGGTGTTTGTATACTAGCCCCTCGGGCCTTTCCTTACCAGGGTCAACACTCACACACAGAGGGCTGGGAATGGAGCTCACCATACCTGGCCCATATTACCCGTATTCCCTGTTGTCCTGTTTAGCACCAATGCTATGGTTCATTAGCTGCAGCTATAGAGTGTACCTGGGCAGGGAGCCAGAGAATAGAGCTGTCCCGGGTTACAGAAGTATAAATCGGACTGTGGACGGTGAAAGGGAATGTGGAAGCACTACAGGTGGCAGTTACTTTAGTCATTCCAATGAATACCCTGCACTGTGATACAGCCAAGTTGTGGTAGCTGCTTCTGTGTTAATGTGTCTAAGAATGTTAACATGCCGTTTTTGTGTGTTTGTGGAGTACACACCAGAACACGAGTTTGAGTTCAGATGTCTGTAGTGTGTGATAACTTGTGATTTGGTCTTGGCAACAGCTGTAGAGAAGAGAGTATAGAAAGGGATGGAAAGTAGGGGAGAGAGAGAGAGGGGGACAGTTGGGAAAACAGAGACCAAACAAATCATCCTCCCTGATCATAAAAACGCCAGCCATGGATGGCACCAGTGAAACTGTGGGAGGAAGATGGCTATCAAATCAACGCTTTATTGAGTTCAACAGCAGTCTCAGCCTGCCCTCTGCTGGACAGTAAGGTTTAATGCTCCATAAACCAGGCAATGAAAACCGATATTTCATGGAAATATTGAAAGTGAGGAATGGTTACTCACATACCATGGATCAATTGAATGTGTATACCTGAAATGAACATTTTCTCAAGAGGTTGTTTAAGACCACCATGATGTATTAGCAAATGTTTGTCCTTGAATACTATTAAATTAGGTCATTTTTTATTATTTTTATTTAACCTTTATTTAACCAGGTAAGCCAGTTGAGAACAAGTTCTCATTTACAGTTGCGACCTGGCCAAGATAAAGCAAAGCAGTGCGATAAAAACAACAACAACACAGAGTCTCAGTAACGTCTCCATATCTGACTCTGAACACACTGACACCAACAGTATACACCTACATCTGGATTCAGGTTAGTCATTCTGGGGTGATCATTGTGAAACAGATGAAACCACACTATCCTATCTGTCACTTTTATCTCATCACTCTCCTCTTTTTATAAGGGCAGGTAAAAGCTGTTGTTTATGACAGGCTTTATCCCTGAGATGTGTAAGAGCCATGTTAAAAGCTTTGTCTTTTACGACCACCTCTCTTCCCTGGGATGTGGCCTCTTTATTTGAAGCAGCTGGAAGAGAAAGATGTGGGGCGCTGACATTTGACAGAGAAGGGTGAGAGGTCATGTCTAACACTAATAACGACCAGACTTTGATCGGACATTTATGGATGGACTAAACTCCCTCTAAGCACACCACATAGAGAGAGATGGACAGAGGGGAGAGAAATAGAGAGAACGGGAGAGAAAAGAATGGCAGTTTGCACCGAATATGAAAAAAATTGAGACCCACAGAGAGTGGGGTCAAGGGAGTTTGGAAATGAGTGCAGAGGGAGAGTGTGTGTGTGTCAGAGGAAGATATTCAGAGACAGAGGGCGCAAGTAGGGTTATGACTGGAGGGGAATTAGGACCAACCCATGAGTTTCAAGGTCATCATTTGTGCTTGCTGGTGACTTTTATAGGTCCTCTGAGGCTCTCTTTCAGAAGAAATCTCTCATGCATTTTAATTTCCTCCTTTTCAATTCTGAAGTGTTATTAGCACTCAGCATGAATCAACTCCACATCTCCCATCCTTTCTACTCAAATTAAAAGCCCCATTGTTTCTTCTGTCTTGCAGCTCATGGCCATGTTCGTTTAGATCGTCACAGCTGTGCCAGGTGAGCTAGGATTTTTCTCACACAAGAACTCTACAAAAGACCTCAGGGATGAACTACTGAGACTAGATAACCAAATACTCCGAATGGAGCCTGCAAGCCAAGTATGAAGTTAAAGAATGTGTAGCTCTAGTCATTCACACACTCTGTACATCACAAGGGGGTGCTATTTGATTATTTATGTACAGTGCCTTCAGAAAGTATTCACATCCCTTGACTTTTTCCACATTTTATTGTTACAGCCTGAATTTAAAATGTATTAAATTGAGATTTTGTGTCACTGGCCTACAGACAATACCCCATAATGTCAAAGTGGAATTATGTTTTTCGAAATTATTACAAATGAATTGAAAATGATAAGCTATTGTATGCAATGTGTTTAACATGATTTTTGAATGACTACCTCATCTCTGTTCCCCAAACATTCAATTTCTGTAAGGTCCCTCAGTCGACCAGTGAATTTCAAACACAGATTCAACCACAAAGACCAAGGAGGTTTTTGGTAGATGGGTAAAAATAAAAAAGCAGATAATTGAATATCCCTTTCACCATGAGGCCAATGGCGACTTTAAAATAGTTACAGAGTTTAATGGCTGTGATAGGAGAAAACTGAGGATGGATCAATACTAACCTAAATGACAGAGTGAAAAGAAGGAAGCCTGCACCGAATAAAAACATTACAAAACATGCCTCCTGTTTGCAATAAGGCACTAAAGTAAAACTGCAAACAAAAAAAGGAAAATAAATTAACTTTATGTCCTGAGTACAATGCGTTATGTATGGTGTACCCAGAAAGAGTAACAGCTGTAATCGCATCCAACGGTGATTCTAAAATTTATTGAATCAGGGGTATGAATACTTATGTAAATTCGATATTTCTATATTTCATTTTCAATATATTTGCAAAAAAAATAAAAAAAACACGTTTTCACTTTGTCATTATGGGGTATTGTGTGTAGATGGGTGAGAAAAAAATATCAATTTTGAATTCAGGCTGTAACAACAAAATGTGGAATAAGTCAAGTGGTATGAATACTTTCTGAAGGCACTGTATCTGCTGAGGACAGGTGAGTCATTTCGATACCTGCATGCTTTGAGGCAACCCTAAGCACTGCGGTGCACCACGGTAGTTATAGTCTTAATGTACTTTCTCACAGTATTATATTAATCCTTGACAGTAACCGAGGAGACTACAATCTCTAACACATATTGGCAAGACCTTTTACAGTTGCATGCAGGTAGCAATCAGATTAGTCCGAACAAAATGGAAACACATAGTGCATTGAGAAAGAAGAAACTTTGAGAAAGAAGAAACTTTACAGGGAAATCATTTTCGTTCATGGTCGCTACTTCTGGTAGGCTACTTCCTTTTTACGGAACTTGTTTAGAGCTTATTTGAAGAAGGTCGTTCTCAGGACGTGCGAGCTTTCTGTTTGAGCCTACTTCAGCGGGTGTGTTTCGGAAGGCAAGGACACACATTGGACCAGGAAAGTGCTCAAGACCGAGGGTCAAGAGCACTGTGCGATCGCATCACCTGCAGATGGCAATTGACAAGAGCAATGCGTTCGAATCGCTTTAGGACTTAACATTGGACTCCAATTCACAGTCAACGATATTGATATGTATTATTTAGAAATTAGATCAGCAAATAAGAATGTTTTGCATGCATGTTAAATCCATAGCGTATGTTTAATTTTAGTTAAGTATATCTTGTATTTACTTTGAGTTGGTAGACGTTTTTTTTTTAAGGAACAATATAATGAAGTTCAACGGGTATTTAAAATTTAGAATTGGTGAGGCGATGGACCTCAAACCAACAACTGTTTCCCTTCGCCACTCTACAATGTTCAACAAAACAGCTCCCACTTTGGACCCTTACATTGTGCTAAAGGTGGACGAGTACAAAATTGGACAGACGCATACAAAGCAGAAAACCAACATGCCAACTTACAACGAAGAGTTCTGCCTCAATGTCAACGACGGCAAGCATATAGAGTTGGCTGTATTTCATGATGCACCCATAGGGTATGACGACTTTGTTGCCAACTGGACAGTTCAATTTGAGGACCTGATAAAAACCTTGAACACAGAAGAGACTTTTGAAGGATGGGTGAGTAGCTTTAAGCCCTGGGCAGTTGGCATTGTGGGGATGGATAGGGATGTGGTTGTCATGAGGAAAGGTTGACATGCTTGCCTGATACACTTTTATTCTCTTAGCAATTCAGGATAAAAGCAGAATTAATATAGTCAGACTGTAAGACACATGCAGTCATTAAAGGGAGTCAAGGTACACTGATAATGCTTTTTTTTTACTCTAAGTAGTTCCCTTGGGGAACTTTTGGGGATTTTGCATATTCAGGTAATCTATAAATATTTGGGCCAATGTGTGACATTGGGATCAACATTTCTAAACGGTTTGAAACATAAATAAAAATTATTTTCGTGCAGTTCCACATGTGTACTTAGAGGAATAAAAGTGAATATATGCTTAGATCAGGCTGCTTGTAGCTGGTTTGAGAATTATTTAAAAGACAGAACAGTGTGAACTTACTGATGGCGTTAAATCAGGATTTTTAGACATATCAAAAGGTGTCCCATAGAGTTCGATTCTTGGTCCAGTTCTTTTCACGATTTATATTAACGTCATTGGTCTATCTGTACAAAACTGTAACTTTCATCTGTACGCAGATGACACTGTTGTATACGCTACTGCCCCTATGGCAGCTCAGGCTCTGTTGAATCTTCAATCTGCTTTTACTACCTTGCAAAAGCCTAGGTTGAAGAAGTTGGTACTAAATGCTGGTAAAACCAAGTACATGTTATTGTCCAAATCATGTAATAATGTAACTGATGATTTGTGCATAAGTATGTTAGATGGTGCCCCCATTGATCGTGTCCCCGCCTATAAATATATGGGCATCTGGATTGACGAAAAGCTATCTTTTAAAAAGCATGTTGACGAGTTAGTCAAGAAATTAAGAATTTAGTTGGGCTTCTTCTATAGGAATGGGGCTTGCCTTTCATTAACTAGTAGAAAACAGATAATTCAGTCTACATTCATACCTGTTATAGATTATGGCGATATTATATATATGAATGCAGCTACCAGTGTTTTGAAGCCCTTGGACACAATATATCATAGCACACTTCGTTTTATAACATCTGACAGTTTTGACTGGAAAATAAGTGTTTGGTCACCTACAAACAAGCAAGATTTCTGGCTCTCACAGACCTGTAACTTCTTCTTTAAGAGGCTCCTCTGTCCTCCACTCGTCACCTGTATTAATGGCACCTGTTTGAACTTGTTATCAGTATAAAAGACACCTGTCCACAACCTCAAACAGTCACACTCCAAACTCCACTATGGCCAAGACCAAAGAGCTGTCAAAGGACACCAGAAACAAAATTGTAGACCTGCACCAGGCTGGGAAGACTGAATCTGCAATAGGTAAGCAGCTTGGTTTGAAGAAATCAACTGTGGGAGCAATTATTAGGAAATGGAAGACATACAAGACCACTGATAATCTCCCTCGATCTGGGGCTCCACGCAAGATCTCACCCCGTGGGGTCAAAATGATCACAAGAACGGTGAGCAAAAATCCCAGAACCACACGGGGGGACCTAGTGAATGACCTGCAGAGAGCTGGGACCAAAGTAACAAAGCTTACCATCAGTAACACACTACGCCGCCAGGGACTCAAATCCTGCAGTGCCAGACGTGTCCCCCTGCTTAAGCCAGTACATGTCCAGGCCCGTCTGAAGTTTGCTAGAGTGCATTTGGATGATCCAGAAGAGGATTGGGAGAATGTCATATGGTCAGATGAAACCAAAATAGAACTTTTTGGTAAAAACTCAACTCGTCGTGTTTGGAGGACAAAGAATGCTGAGTTGCATCCAAAGAACACCATACCTACTGTGAAGCATGGGGGTGGAAACATCATGCTTTGGGGCTGTTTTTCTGCAAAGGGACCAGGACGACTGATCCGTGTAAAGGAAAGAATGAATGGGGCCATGTATCGTGAGATTTTGAGTGAAAACCTCCTTCCATCAGCAAGGGCATTGAAGATGAAATGTGGCTGGGTCTTTCAGCATGACAATGATCCCAAACACACCGCCCGGGCAACGAAGGAGTGGCTTCGTAAGAAGCATTTCAAGGTCCTGGAGTGGCCTAGCCAGTCTCCAGATCTCAACCCCATAGAAAACCTTTGGAGGGAGTTGAAAGTCTGTGTTGCCCAGCGACAGCCCCAAAACATCACTGCTCTAGAGGAGATCTGCATGGAGGAATGGGCCAAAATACCAGCAACAGTGTGTGAAAACCTTGTGAAGACTTACAGAAAACGTTTGACCTGTGTCATTTTGTTTTTGACCAAATACTTATTTTCCACCATAATTTGCAAATAAAATCATAAAAAATCCTACAATGTGATTTTCTGGAATTTTTTTTCTCATTTTGTCTGTCATAGTTGACGTGTACCTATCATGAAAATTACAGGCCTCTCTCATCTTTTTAAGTGGGAGAACTTGCACAATTGGTGGCTGACTAAATACTTTTTTTTATAATGAGAAAGTGACCAAAAAACAGGTTCCTTTTTAATGGAAGTATTTATATGGAAAGCCAAGTTGAAGCCAACATTAGATGTTGTCATAATAACCCCACATGGTTTTACCACAACAGAGTAGCACAACACCCTTCAAATGAAGCGGTGGGAAACAAACGAAAGTAGCCACATCTCTCACAAAAACGGTTCAAAAATGAAATCACGGATAAATATAAGGGACCAGGAGAATTTATAAATTGGCTACAATAATTACAATAACTTTTCAAGCACCATATTGAGGACATTTCTGATTTTCAAGGTAGGCCTATTCCAGTAGCCTACTTGAATTTCTGAGCTCCAAATTCAAGTTAAAGTACAGTAGCTTAGGCTACTTCAAGCTCCTTGTATTGTTTAAAATTGCAGGTGTAACATGGAAAACAAAATGTATTTGTCATGTTATTTCATTACCAGATCATATTGTGAATAAGCCCATTAGGCTATGTAATTTGTTGTCATTATATCCAGAATAATTAATAGGAATAGCATTGGGTGTTGTGCAATAGTCTATCCTACACAATTGCAAGCAGTAGACTTGGTGTCCAATCCAGGCACAAAAACATATGAGGCTGGCTGGAAACCATGAACTCATTAGCTTACCTTGATGCTTTCTCTTTTAAATCTAACAAGACACTGCTGTAAATCAAGCAGACAACAACAGAGGATCAATATCAATTGCTAGGGATATTAGATCCAGTGTGGATCCAGGCATAACTGTCTTCACCGGTGTAACGAATGAGACACCAAAATATTCAGGACATTCCTCGCAAACACCTTTTTTTCCAGTACTTGGGCTGTTGTTGCATCACATGCACTATCACAACAGCTGTTCTTCACTTGATTGTCAATCGGAAAATTCCTTCCTGGATCAGATGATGATGTGTGAAAATATCATGGCTTAACTAACCAGCTGGACACCAAATGTGCATCCAACAAGTATTATGCATAATTATTGAAGAAGCATATCAATGACAGTATCAATTTAGGTTTTACGTATTAAGGTAAGGTGACTCTTTCGGTTAGAAGCATTCGATTTTGCAATGCATAGCCTACATTATTTTGGATTTGTGTGCCCATGAAAACTGTTTTCACCTAATAATATAAGGAGACACTAAATGTAACATAGTTGCACTGCATTTCTAAGATCTGTCTGAAAGCTAGACCTAGGATTCTTAGGGGTTCAAGTTCAATGTCTAATTTAACTGATTAATGCTTAATATATGATATAACAACAATTTACACTGCCATAAATGCAAGGACAGAAAAGTAATGTTTTATGTCACACGATTTTGGACAAGTCCATCAAGAGACCAACCATGATAAAGGGTTAAACATAGGTTTTAAATCAACTCGTGAATTTTATTGAACATAGCTATGATCCCCCTTTATATCTTAATGTAATGACATCTAAGGCATGCAGATCCCATAGTCTCCTTTTCCAATATGAAGCTTCAGCATCTTCAGCAGCTCATTATAGGTGGCATCTTAGTGGATACCTCTGTGTGTTTAGCTTAAGCCTGTCAGAAAGGCAAAGGTGACATCAACAAGAGATATTTGTATTTATTAGGGATCCCCATTAGCTGCTGCCAAGGCAGCAGCTACTCTTCCTGGTGTCCAAACACATTAAGGCACTTACATTACACATAAATGAAAAGATAAAACAGTACATCATATAACATTATTACACCACTACATCTCTACAATACAAAATGTATAATAACACCATACAACAATATTACGATGTACGTGCGTGTTCTAGCGTGTGTATGTGTATGTCTGTACCTGTGTATGTGTGTGTCTCTTCACAGTCACCGCTGTTCCATAAGATGTTTTTTTAATCTGTTTTTTAAATCTGATTCTACTGCTTGCATCTGTTACCTGATGTGGAATAGAGTTCCATGTAGTCATGGCTCTATGTAGTACTGTGTGCCTCCCATATACTTGGGGACTGTGAAGAGACCTCTGGTGGCATGTCTTGTGGGGTATGCATGGGTGTCCGAGCTGTGTGCTAGTAGTTTAAACAGACAGCTCAATGCAATCAGCTTGTCAACACATCTTAGAAAAACAAGTAGTGATGAAGTCAATCTCTCCTCCACTTTGAGCCATGAGAGATTGACATGGATATCATTCATGTTAGCTCCCTGTGTACATTTAAGGGCCAGCCGTTCTGCCCTGTTCTGAGCCAATTGCAATTTTCCCAAGTCCCTCTGTGGCACCTGACCACACAACTGAACAGTAGTCCAGGTGCGACAAAACTAGGGCCTGTAGGACGTGCTTTGTTGATAGTGTTGTTAAGAAGGTAGAGCAGCGTTTTATTATGGACAGACTTCTCCCCATCTTAGCTACTGTTGTATCAATATGTTTTGACCATGACAGTTTACAATCCAGGGTTACTCCAAGCAGTTTAGTCACCTCAACTTGCTCAATTTCCACATTATTCATTACAAGATTTAGTTGAAGTTTAGGGTTTAGTGAATGATTTGTCCCAAATACAATGCTTTTAGTTTTTGAAATATTTAGGACTAACTTATTCCTTGCCACCCATTCTGAAACTAATCGCAGCTCTTTGTTAAGTGTTGCAGTCATTTCAGTCGCTGTAGTAGCTGACGTGTATAGTGTTGAGTCATCCGCATACATAGACAGTGGCTTGTCGTTAGTAAAGATTGAAAAAAAGTAAGGGGCCTAGACAGCTGCCCTGTGGAATTCCTGATTATACCTGGATTAGGTTGGAGAGGCTTCCATTAAAGAACACCCTCTGTGTTCTGTTAGACAGGTATCTCTTTATCCACAATATAGCAGGGGGTGTAAAGCCATAACTCATACGTCTTTCCAGCAGCAGACTATGATCAATAATGTCAAAAGCCGCACTGAAGTCTAACAAAACAGCCCCCACAATCTTTTTAGGATCAGTTTCTCTCAGCCAATCATCAGTCATTTGTGTAAGTGCTGTACTTGTTGAATGTCCTTCCCTATAAGTGTGCTGAAAGTCTGTTGTACATTTGTTTACTGTAAAATAGCATTGTATCTGGTCAAACACAATTTTTTCCAAAAGTTTACTAAGGGTTGGTAACAGGCTGATTGGTCGCTATTAGAGCCAGGGAGCTTTACAATTCTTAGGTAGCGGAATGACTTTTGCTTCCCTCCAGGCCTGAGGGCACACACCTTCTAGTAGGTTTAAATAATTAAAGATATGGCAAATAGGAGTGGCAATATCGGCCGCTATTATCCTTAGTCATTTTCCATCCAAGTTGTCAGACCCCGGTGGCTTGTCATTGTTGACAGACAACAATAATAACCACACACGCCTCTGTTGTGCTAATGTGCTAATTATGCTACCCGCTAGCAGTATGTTAAGTATTGCATTGTAAAGTGTGCTGGAAACCACAACCTTCAGAGACTTTGCATCTAATTCCTGTGACTTGCCTATCTTACTGCATGTCATATACAGCTGCTTACATACAGCCACTGCCAGAGATAGATGTTAATGTGATGGTATCGAGCTGGTATTACTCTCCACATTTCTCTTTGGTTGATGTGCATTGCTTTGGGGGCTACATCACCTCTGTATACCGTAGTAGGCTACTACTGGTTTGGAACTGGAGAGCAAATTGCCCTCTGCAACAGTTTCATTCGTCTCTTTTACTTTCGGTCCTAGAGAAGTAAACAAGAAATGTGATTGATGTGTAACCTGAACATGTGCATGCCTGGGGGTAGATCAGGTATCGTCTGTGTGCCTTGAGACTCAACGCCCTCCAGTGGCTGTCTGGCCTTCTTATTATCTCTCATTGTCATACAGTACAATGGTCTGACATACTCAAAACCTAATCTGTGTCATGGTGCCCAAAAGCTATTAACAGACAGCTCACTCCTCTTGAAAAGTAGAATCTGAGTAGATTTTTTTGCAAAGCTTCCACCAGGAACCAACCAATGAAGGCCAGAGTCAAGTACAGTGGGTGTGTCTGTGAGGTTTGATAGACATGTAGGCATAGCCTGGCTTCACTCTTTTACGAGATGCAGGCATGACAGTATTTATCGGATAGATCTGAACTGTGAGATCAGGGTGACGTGTTCGATGCCAATATAGCGAAGTGACCCACAGTGTTTGTCATTATACCATGATGAAGACAGCTTGTCTGTCCAAACGTTGGTTATTAAATTATTGCATCTGAGCTCCTAGAGTGTGCAGCTCTCCTTTTCTTTTTCAAGTGTTCTACTCCGCTAGCCAACACCTCGCCTAAACAGGTGTGCGTTTCTTCCACCTCCAGATGTGAACTGTGAAACTTGTTTTGCTTTGTTAGCTCTCAGATGAAGTGCATGGGGCCGTATACGTATGACGTATAGAGTAAAGACTAGAGTAGAGAGTAGGGCACAGGCCTCCACACGCCCACACCACTGTTATTGAAGGTGGTGTTATTGAAGGTTTCCCACCATCTGCTTTACGCTCAAGGGCTCCAAGTCTCTCCCCATCCCATCTCATCTCTCTTGTTTTATAGCCTCTCTTGGTTCAGAGCCAAGTACAGCACTTTCTCTTTCTCATCTGTGTTCCTCTCTAACCAGTACAATTTTGCATATTAACCAAAAAACTTCAGTGTCTTTGATCTGAGGGGGGCTGTTGGCTCACACACACACACACACACACACACACACACACACATACACATGGCTGGATAGGTTTATGTATCTAAACAAATAGCAGTATGAGGCGTTACCTTCAAGAGAGCAGCTCAAAATAGAAGCATGCAGTCATATCTGTTGTGTCTCATGGGCCTGTGGCTCAGCCTTATGTGCCATCCACCCACTCCTCTCACACCCCACTCACAGCCTTAACACTGGGGGCCAGTTTCCACTAAGACCCACAACTTACACCTGTGATGGCTTCATTACTGGTCTGTATTGAACTATCCTTCAGGTTCATCTTGACAGTCTTGTCTCTGCTTTTAAGCAGAAGTGGATGGAGTAGACTCAGTTTAACTGTAAATGTTTGTCAAGAGCTGTCCCCCCTCAGAAAAAATAACTTCCCCTTACTGTCATGTGGTACTCAGTCAGCCAGAGTTCCTGCTTTTTAAATTGAGTGTGGTCGTGTCAGCATCAAAGCCTGTTTTAGTCTGAACTCTTCTGTCTTCATCTGACTGGATTTCTGTCTGCCTCAGCTGATTCACTGAAGACACAGGTCCAACGCTCTCAGAAAAAGAGAGAACCGGACCTAACAGTAATCTCTAACATAACACATTTTCTACTGCTGAGGCTCAAACATAAGGAAATGTAAAACCCCAGACTAAGTACACCATCAGATGTAAGACCAGGATAATTCCACCTCTCTATCTCCTTAACTATTCACCTTGACATGACATCACCCTCCACACATGTAGGCTAATAGTTTGTGAGGGTGTGTGTGTGTGTGCTCAGCTGTACACAAAAGAAACATGTGTGGAGGGTGATGTCATGTCAAGGTGTTATGTTAGAGATATACCCTCCTCATAGCAATACAGAATTATCTAACTGACCAAGAGAGAGACAGGCTGGTAGAGATGACTGAATCAGGATGGAGATGATCTTGCAGTATCAGTCCAAGGTTTTCCATTGGGGCGTCTGTCTGACTAGAGCTGTGTCTGTAGTTTGTGCTGTAAGTAACCTCAGTTTCCATGAAGTGGTTAGTGCATGGCCTCCGCACCGCAGCACAGTGGAGGTCTTTCTCACTGTGTCTTATTATGTCTATTGTCTGTCTCTGTCTGTATGTCTTCTTTATACTTATCCTAATGTCTGTGTGAGATGGATGTTATTTTGAGTGAAGCAGGGTGTCATTTACTGAAGCTAGCTAAACCAGCTGGACCTGCTCTCTAGTCTCTCCTCCACATCGCTCACATTCTCCCCACATTACATACACACTCAACCGTTCACATCACATGCACCTACATGCTACATACCGGTATGTTAAACAAAGATCTAACATAATATGTCTACACAGATTTACATACCTATAACACACTCACCCTACACCTTGCATAGGGGAGAGTGGGGTAAGTTGAGCCATGTTTTACATTCAGAATCACTCCATAAAGGGAAATATAGTATTCTTTCTAACAAATATATCTACATATACTGTATTTCTGGAGGTTGTGTATCCCTGGAAATAATCAGAATTCATGTAAACGTTACAGTTTTGAAAACATAGCTTGTCCAAAAAAAGTGTTCTCTTGGCACAACATACCTCGGGTATGGGTTAAGTCGCCTCCAAATTTCTCTGCTGAATGAAATAGTTCCACTACCTTTTTAAAACCATGTCTATCTTTATTTCCCAAACACAATTCAACACAATCACAGTTACTTTTAGTCTTTTAATCATTTTAAGCATCTTTTAAAACAGGCTTAACACCTAACAAACACTATTGTTACCTTATATCCCAGGGATAATGCTTTGCATTACGCATGGGAAGAAAACACTTCAATTTGCTCATCTTGCCATTGGTTCAACCATTGGCTCAACTTAGCCCATGGCCATTGGCTCAACTTACCCCAACTAAAACATTTAATCCACACAGCTACAATCATACTAGGTTTAGGACCTCATATTGAAGCTAATAGTGACCCAAACTGATGTATAGAACAATCTTAAAAGTATCTACTTTGGTTTAGATACAAGCATCATGAAACCTCTAATACAATAAATTCATTTGACTTGGTGAAAACACGTTTTATTTTAACCCAACTTACTTACCACTTTTTCCATGTGTTTTTTTTCCCTCCATGAAATCATGACCTCTTCCTAAATATTTGGTCAAATGATACATTTTTTGTATGGTTTCCTAGAAAAAAAAAGTGGTTCAACTTAACCCTTTGGCTCAATTTACCCCTCTCTCCCCTATAATAAATATAGATTATATTGCATTACATGTGCTGGTTTGGGAGTTACCTGGTTGGGAGTTACATGGTTAGCTTTTGCTCATGAAATAGTCTAGTCTAATGTCTAGTCTCCTGTGTTTGTGTGCAGGTGGACCTGGAGCCAGAGGGCAAGGTGTACATCCTCATAACACTCAATGGCTCCTTCATTGATGGTAAGGATTTTTCGTTGTATCTCACACCAACATCGATCTATTTCATCCATAGATGGCAATACTATCTCCCTCCCTCTCTGTTCGTCTGTCTGCTTCAACACAGCCCCTGATGCAGCTGATTACTTACAGGCTGTCAGAAACATTTACATTTACATTTTACATGTAGAGGCAGATTTGTGATATTCATCATCACAAAAACCTGTTTGTGTGTGTTCGTGTGTGTGTGCGTTCGTGCATGCATGCGTGTTGTGTGAATGACTTACTGTAAGACATACTGTAGATGCTTTGACTGATGGGAATCTTATCTCCTTCTTTGTTTCCTTTCCGATAGAACATTGTTGCTTTAATCATTCATATTTTTTCCTCTGTTCTCTGTCTGACAAACATACTCCCCTCTGGGTCGTTCCATTTAATTTCAGCAAGCCATGACACCCACCATCTCAGATTGTTCTGAAATTGTTTCTGTAGTTAGAAACAGAAAAGATTACCATTCCTACAACATTATTTTGTTGAAATATAATTTGACCTCTGAGAAAAAATAAGCTAATTGATTGCACCCAAATTCTGCATTTTAATTTGTAGTATTAATATAATATTCAATAAACATCTGATTTGGACCAAACTTTTTTTCTAACAATGAGTAAGACATGAGTAATCCAAAGATATGGTCAAAAGCCACCCACTGACCCCCCACACCCCACCCCAATCCCAACCCAACAACGAGGATACAGTATCAGTTCTCTATGTTTGACAAGTAGTATGGAGCTGCGGCTCTGAGTATTGTTTCTTCATCCTATGTAATGTATTCTCAGTGAATTTGGTTATGGCTATTTTTTTCTGCTCAGAGAAATGTGTAATTTAAGTTGTTAGGTTTATGTTCCATCCTACATCCTGATATTACTAGGTTGTGACCACTAGATGGTGCGGTTCCTACTATTAGGTGATTCGTTTTAACGGTGATTTTTGAATGACTACCTCATCTCTGTACCCCACAGATACAATTATCTGTAAGGTCCCTCAATTGAGCAGTGAATTTCAAACACAGATTAAACCACAAAGACCAGGGAAGTTTTCCAATGCCTCGCAAAGAAGGGCACCCTAGTTTTTGCTGTGGCGAGCAAATCAATCAAAAACAGTCAATAGCTGACAGTTGAATGCCATACTCGGTGTAATACTCCACCATCTCTCTCTCTCTAGGGTGTTGGGACTCCACATCATGCACATTTCTGTTGTATACGTGTGGTTTCAACACCTCACAAATAAAACGTCAGTTTAAAAACAACTCTAGACATGCGCACACACACACAAGCATATACCATCCATGATATGTGTTTTGTGTACTCATTTTAACATCTGTCTGACCCCCATACCATTGTGTTCCCCGGTTCTCAGATGACGCCACGGGGAAGGCGAAGGTGTTTAAGCAGTTCAACAGGAAGAGGCAGGGGGCCGTGAAACGCAAGATCCACCAGGTCAACGGACACAAGTTCATGTCCACCTTCCTACGGCAGCCCACCTTCTGCTTCCACTGCAAAGAGTTCATCTGGTAAGGGCACACCCACACACTCCACTGCCCTCACCTCAGAGAGTTCATCTAACGTGATACACATACTGTGATTGTATTGTCGATTGTGTATAATAGAAACAGCCAATTACAATATATTTATTATGTAAACATTATGCCTTGCATGATTTCTGACTGTCAGGTCTTCGGTTACAGGGGTATGTTTGGGAAGCAGGGCTACCAATGCCAAGGTAATTGACACTGTTTTCTTTCTTGGGTCTTTCTTTCTGCTTTCTGTCTCTCTTTTCTCTCACTCTCTTTTCTCCTTCACACCATTCTGTTACCACCCGCCCACTCAGACAGGAAGTAAGTGCTACTCCACAGAGACTGAGCCCTCACACCTCTTTTATTATAGAGTTGCTGAACCCAACCACCATCTCATCTTACAGTGCCTGGCCTCTATCTCACAGACCCTCTGTTTAAAGTTCACTTTCATGAAAATAATTCAGCTGCATGCTCTTTCTCCGAAACAATTTATTAAAATCACCAATGTTTCAGCAGGAAGATGATGCCTTTGTCAGAGTATCTTTCTCTAAATGACAGGATCAGTGACAGACATGGTTTCCATGTTTTCATTCTTATCTGTGTCTGTTTCCCAGTATGCACCTGTGTGGTTCACAAGCGATGTCATCAGTTGGTTGTCACGGTGTGTCCACGCATGAAGAAGCCTGTCAAAGAGCCGGTGAGACAACATACAGAGACCAGCCATTTGACCTTTAACACCATACCCTTAGTACACTACAATAATGTTGTAACAGCTCTGTCATGTCATCACTATGACACCCACACCTGAATGCATACTCCAAAAAAACACCATCTCATCAATGGAATGTGTTCTGACAATGAAATACACTGTGAAAAAATGTCTGGGGATTCCAGAGTTAAAATAGGCTATTCTACGGGTGCATTGTGTTACAGCTGATAGACCTTAGACGTAGACGTATGATGCACAGATATGTATTCAGCACCTGTGTGTTGATCAGGGACCCTACCCAGGATATTGTTTGTGTGGAATTTGTCAATGAGGCAGAAAGGTGTGTGCCAACAACATCAAGCTACTGAATATTATCACACATATTCTACAAGTACATGAAATACATTTTAGGGAACTTGTCTCAACCTGAGATTCAATGTTCAGTACCATTCAAAAGTTTGGACACACTAACTCATTCAAGGGTTTTTCATGTACTTGTAGAATGTAGAAAATAGGACAATAACCCAACAGGACAATGACGCAACACACCTCCAGGCTGTGTAAGGGCTATTTGACCAAGAAGGAGAGTGATGGAGTGCTGCATCAGATGACCTGGCCTCCACAATCACCCGACCTCAACCCAATTGAGATGGTTTGGGATTAGTTGGACCGCAAAGTGAAGGAAAAGCAGCCAACAAGTGCTTAGCATATGTGGGAACTCCTTCAAGACTGTTGGAAAAGCATTCCAGGTGAAGCTGGTTGAGAGAATGCAAAGCTGTCATCAAGGCAAATGGTGGCTACTTTGAAGGATCTCAAATATGAAATATATTTTGATTTGTTTAACCCATTTTTTGGTAACTACATGATTCCATATGTGTTATTTCATAGTTTTGATATCTTCACTATTATTCTACAATGTAGAAAATTGTAAAACTAAAGAAAAACCGAGTAGGTGTGTCCAAACTTTTGACTGATACTGTATGCTGAACATTCAGGTTTCATGTCCCGGTCTATTACACATATGAACAAACCATACCACTGAAGAAAAATAGGAATGAAACAGATTGACACCTGACTTAGTAATATACTGGTATGTGAAGAAAATCATTTCTGTTTGTTAATTAATTATGATGCCATATGATGGTTTGCTTGAGCATACACTGCCACCTGCTGGCCGTGTGTTTTATAACATGCAGTATCTAGACTCGTTCCCCCATTCAAACCTAGGTCAATGGGATGACATACTGATGAATTCTCATTCACAGACCACCAACCAAGGCTTCAGTATCAACGTCCCCCATAAGTTCAACATCCACAACTTTAAGGCTCCCACCTTCTGTGACCACTGTGGTTCTCTACTGTGGGGCCTTGTCAGACAGGGTCTACACTGCAAGAGTAAGATTCTTTCTCTCATTTATCATACTCTCTCTTTCTCTCAGATGTTTATAGACAGGTATAAAATGTTCATGGCTTATTAACCTGTACTTCCTGTGTATTGTGTGTCTGTCCTCTGCAGTTTGTAAGATGAACGTGCACATCCGCTGTAAGGGCAACGTAGCACCGAGCTGTGGGGTCAACAGTGTGGAGCTGGCCAACAAGCTGGCAGAGATGGGCCTGCAGGCTGGGGGGTTCTCCAAACGCAACTCACTGGTGAGAAAGAGAGGTTAAGACACACATACATACAGTGCCTTCAGAAAGTATTCACACCCCTTGACTTTTTCCACATTTTGTTGTGTTACAGCCTGAATTTAAAATGGATGAAGTTATATGTAAGATCCCTCAGTCAAGCAATGCATTTCAAACACAGAAGGAAACCGGTGAGGGATTTCACAAGGCCAATGGTGACTTTAAAACAGTTACAGAGTTTAGTGGCTGTGATAGAAGGAAACTGAGGATGGAGCAACAACATTGTAGTTACTCCACAATACTAACCTAATTGACAGATGGAAAAGAAGGAAGCCTGTACAGAAAACAAATATTCCAAAACATGCATCCTGTTTGCATCAAGGCACTAAAGTAATACTGCAAAAAATGTGGCTAAGCAATTCACTTTTTGTTATGTTTATGTTTGGGGCAAATCCAATACAACACATTACTGAGTACCACACTCCTTATTTTCAAGCATACTGAAAATCTATGGCAAGACCTGAAAATGGTTGTCTAGCAATGATCAACAACCAATTTGACAGAGCTTGAAGAATTTTGAAAACAATAATGGTCAAATGTTGCACAATCCATGTGTGGAAAGCTCTTAGAGACTTACCTAGAAAGACTCACAGCTGTAATCGCTGCCAAAGGTGCTTCTACAAAGCATTGACTCAGGGGTGTGAATACTTATGTAAATTAGATATTTCAGTATTACATTTTCAGTAAATGTGCAAACATTTTGATAATCATGTTTTCACTTTGTCGTTATGGGGTATTGTGTGTAGATGGGTGAGAAAAATTATCAAATTAATCAATTTTGAATTCAGGCTGTAACACAACAAAATAAGTCAAGGTGTATGAATACTTTTCGAAGGCACTGTACATACATACCAATATGAACATACTCAGTAGTTAAATGCTCATCCTGTTGTCCCCCAGTCCACTGGAGTGCAGGGCCAGGAGCAGGCCCTCAGTGTGAGGAGGGAGAGTGAAAACCCTCAGCAGCAGACCAGACTGCTGGGCATCTCTGACTTCACCTTCCTACAGGTGCTGGGAAAGGGCAGCTTCGGCAAGGTGAGACAACCACCATAGAGCAATACCACCATGGACTGTGTGATGGTCTAGAGTTGGGTACCGGTAATTAACGTATGTGTGCTGTGTGTTCCTATTTCAGGTGATGCTGGCTCGGTTGAACAGCAGTGAGCGGGTATTTGCAGTGAAGGTGCTGAAGAAGGACATAATTCTGCAGGACGATGATGTTGAGTGCACCATGACAGAGAAGAGAGTGCTGTCACTGGCCAGCTGCCACCCGTACCTCACTCAGCTCTACTGCTGCTTTCAGACACCGGTGAGAGACACATACATTCGTGGTCAAAAGTTTTGAGAATGACACAAATATTGGTCTTCACAAAGTTCGCTGCTTCAGTGTTATGAGATATTTTTGTCAGATGTTACTATGGTATACTGAAGTATAATTACAAGCATTCCATAAGTGTCAAAGGCTTTTATTGACAATTACATTAAAAGTTTATGCAAAGAGTCAATATTTGCAGTGTTGACCCTTCTTTTTCAAGACCTCTGCAATCCACCCTGGCATGCTGTCAATTAACTTCTGGGCCACATCCTGACTGATGGCAGCCCATTCTTGCATAATCAATGCTTGGAGTTTGTCAGAATTTGTGGGTTTTTGTTTGTCCACCTGCCTCTTGAGGATTGACCACAAGTTCTCAATGGGATTAAGGTCTGGGGAGTTTCCTGGCCATGGACCCAAAATGTCAATGTTTTGTTCCCCGAGCCACTTAGTTATCCCTTTTGCCTTATGGCAAGGTGCTCCATCATGTTGGAAAAGGCATTGGTCGTCACCAAACTGTTCTTGGATGGTTGGGAGAAGTTGCTCTCGGAGGATGTGTTGGTAACATTCTTTATTCATGGCTGTGTTCTTAGGCAAAATTGTAAGTGAGCCCACTCCCTTGGCTGAGAAGCAACCCCACACATGAATGGTCTCAGGATGCTTTATTGTTGGCATGACAGAGGACTGATGGTAGCGCTCACCTTGTCTTCTCCGGACAAGGTGTTTTCCGGATGCCCCAAACAATCGGAAAGGGGATTCATCAGAGAAAATGACTTTACCCCAGTCCTCAGCAGTCCAATCCCTGTACCTTTTGCAGAATATCAGTCTGTCCCTGATGTTTTTCCTGGAGAGAAGTGGCTTCTTTGCTGCCCTTCTTGACACCAGGCCATCCTCCAAAAGTCTTCGCCTCACTGTGCGTGCAGATGCACTCACACCTGCCTGCTGCCATTCCTGAGCAAGCTCTGCACTGGTGGTGCCCCGATCCTGCAGCTGAATCAACTTTAGGAGATGGTCCTGGCGCTTGCTGGACTTTCTTGGGCGCCCTGACGCCTTCTTCACAACAATTGAACCTCTCTCCTTGAAGTTCTTGATGATCCGATAAATGGTTGATTTAGGTGCAATCTTACTAGCAGCAATATCCTTGCCTGTGAAGACCTTTTTGTGCAAAGCAATGATGACGGCATGTGTTTCCTTGCAGGTAACCATGGTTAACAGAGGAAGAACAATGATTTCAAGCACCACCCTCCTTTTAAAGCTTCCAGTCTGTTATTCTAACTCAATCAGCATAACAGAGTGATCTCCAGCCTTGTCCTCATCAACACTCTCACCTGTGTTAACGAGAGAATCACTGACATGATGGCAGCTGGTCCTTTTGTGGCAGGGCTGAAATGCAGTGGAATTTTTTTGGGATTAAGTACATTTTCATGGCAAAGAGGGACTTTGCAATTAATTGCAATTCATCAAATCACTCTTCATGACATGCTGGAGTATATGCAAATTGCCATCATCAAGACTGAGGCAGCAGACTTTGTGAAAATTAGTATTTGTGTCATTCTCAAAACTTATGAACACGACTGTACACACACACACACACACACACACACACACACACACACACACACTTGCGAGTCTGTAGCTGTAATGCCTAGAGTGTCCTGTTGAGGCAGCAGTGACCTGACGTTATCTGAGTGTGAATGTAGCACAGTGTGAATGACCCTCTGCATGACAGAGCTATTCTCCCACCCAGGTCAGAGCCTAATCTGCTTTAGCTGTTTGAACCCTCGCTGGCCTACTTCACTTTGGATCAAAATAGAGCAGCGTTGAGTGATGGATCCATGATACAGCCCATTTTCTTTTTCTTTTTTTTTCCCTCAGGCTACCACTTCATATCTACACCCCTTGTGTTTGCTTAGCCCACCATAACCTAATTTTGCCCTGGCTCCTATACCCAGCTTTCTTATTCTTGACTGCCACTAGACCCCATCTATCTTAACTTAATAGTTTGCTGTCTTTTTCCTTTCTTATTAGAGGGGGTAAATTGACTTGCTTCAGGTCTAATTGTACCTGCACTCTCACAGAGCCTTTCCACACCATTCATAACCATGACTCTAATGCAGTTGTGTTACTTGTTAATATCATACCAATGACAAGTCAATATAAGACACGGTCAGGAGATAATCATAGTAAGGTAAATAGAAACACTATCGACTACCTAGCTAGTGTGCTGCAGTTGAACAGAACACAGGGTCTGTTCTACCTTGTGCTGGCTAGTCATGTCTGGGACATTTATGACCCAGACAGTACTGCACTTCGTGTTCCACAGGGAAGTGTTTTAGATGAGAGTTTGACGCCACTACCTCCTTGACACAAGGAAATTGGTATGTCCTCGAGCTGTTGTGGAGGTAGTGGGGTTTCATTGTTGTGTATTTGAGAAAGGAACCATTGTCCCTGTGTTCCAGGACCGCCTGTTCTTTGTGATGGAGTTTGTCAATGGGGGCGACCTCATGTTCCACATCCAGAAGTCCAGGAAGTTTGAGGAGGGCCGCGCTCGCTTCTACACCGCCGAGATCACCTCTGCACTCATGTTCCTGCACAGCAAGGGCATCGTCTACAGGTCTGGTAGAGCATGGCGCTTGCAACGCCAGGGTTGTGGGTTCGTTTCCCACGGGGGGCCAGTATGAAAATGTATGCACTCACTAACTGTAAGTCGCTCTGGATAAGAGCGTCTGCTAAATGTCTAAAATGTAAATGTAAATGTCTGACACACAATCAAATGCTCTTATATAGAGACAGCTAACATTTCATTGGAGTGATGCCAAGGTGGCAGGTGACTGGTTCTAATCCATCTAGTCTTTTTACGGGGCTGTTGTCAACTTACAGTAATGGCCAACACAAAGGTCTCTGTCAAGCCTCATGTTGATAAATGTGGCAGCATCATGTGAGTGGCTATGCTAAATGTCAGTGCCACATAGCATGACTACTAGCTTCACGTGACGAGCTAACGTCCTTTCCTGGAAATAGCCTAACCCTAGTACTCCAGGTCTTGCTCTATAACAGTACTAAAGACCTCGTGCTGACTTCTCAATTTATGACCCCAGATGTAGCCCAAGTGTATTATGTAAAGTAATCGCTTTATCGTGTCTCAACTATCTCTTCCTCGTGCTCTTTCACCCTGAGGTAAAGGGCTCATATTATCAGCCTATCAGGGGCAATACAATTGTAATATATTTTTTTGTAAAAGTGCTTTAACCTTGATTTTAGTCCATTAATATAGTATTGAATCGAAGACCAGAGCTAATAGTACCTGATGTCAACATGTTACAGACCACCAGCTTACCCTTTTGAAGAAAACATGAGTTTTAGCGTTTGTCTTGAATGTATCATGACTAGTTCATAATCTCTTTATGTTTGCTGACTGTGCTGTTAGTCATTCTCAGATTTGAAGACCAGATCCACACACAAAATAACTACCCAGCTAGCACATTTTGTTCCTTGGAAGTTGAGGGAATGTACGTTTTTGGTTCTGGGAACAAAGCCATACGTTTCCTGACTGGTAAAACTGAATGTTTTTTAAATGTTCTGAGAACGGAAGTGAAAATGTAGCTTGTTCTGGGATTGTAAATGTTTTGTTGCAGGGAGATTCTGAGAACGTTTTACTATGGTTCCCTAAAAGTTTTCCTGGGAGGTTTTATTAACATTCTGAGAACGGAAATTATAGTTTTTTTAATAAGTAACACTGCTAGCTTAGGTTAGCTGTTTTTAACTACTAGCACAGATATGACACATGGAAATTCCTTTGCTTAGGCATTAATCATGCAGACACATTTCTTTGTTATTGTGGCAAGGCGTCAGTGAGATTCGAACCTATGATCGTCTCTTCTCTATCCATGGAATTAGTCCACTGCGTCACCAGGATGGAGCTAGCATGCCATGTTTTTTTAACTCATACAAAGCTATTAATTTTTGTCTATTCAAACAGACCCCACTTCGAAGTAAGCACTCATTAAGATCAGGCGTGGCCAAGTAGTGGACGCGGCAAACACATCTGAACACACATAACAAGATAGAGGATGGAGACAGTTTTGTTGACGCTAAGGACGGAATGTATGTTTTCAATAACATTCTTAGAACGTTCTTTGAACGTTACTAATGTTTTCTTTTGGTGTTTATGGAACATTTTTTATGTTCTGAGAACAATACTTTAAATAGAACCATGAGGAAATCTGCAGAAATCATTATGCATTACTTTAAATCAGGGCTCTCCAATCCTGTTCCTGGAGAGCTAATTATTAGAATCAGGTGCGCTAGATTAGGGTTGGAGCGAAACCCTACAGGACGGTAGCTCTCCAGGAACAGGGTTGGAGAGCCCTGCTTTAAATAGAACCATGAGGAAACCTGGTGGAAACATTATGCTGAAGTATTGAAATTCCCTCAGGATAACGTTGTTTCTTAACGTTCTCTGAACTATTCATTCCCAATGTCAAACCAGTTGGAGAACGTTCCTAGAACATTACCAAAACTGTAATTAAATGTAACCATGTATGAACTTTTAGGAAATGTTCTGTTAATGTATTGAAGTACCAAGAAAATAACTTTATTTTGTCAAGTTCCTTAAATGTGCTGAGAATGTTCCAAAGCCAAGCAACTGTCATGCACCATTCCCAGAACGTTGTGGGAAGGTTGTATGCAAAATAACCATAGGACAACCACGCTCTAAGAAACATATGGTTCTCAGAACATTATGTGCTAGCTGGGTAACCATTAATATGTAAAATGGTCTGGGTGTACATCACCAACTTCTCCCTCTCCTAGAACTTCCCCCTCACAGTATTCTAGCGAAGCACTTTGTTCCTCTTTGGCTGCAGCTGTTGCCCAATCACCAGTTGTAGATGTGATTCGCAGCAAATCAGCATGACCGTTTGACCCCAAGGTCATGACCACACCTTCACTATGACCTACATCTCACAGACAAAGGTCTAATTTATATTGTCTGTCAGATTCTCCTCCCAGCCAGCCATGCCTTTCACAGGAAATGATGAAGAGGAAGTGAGTGGATGAGATAGAGACTGAGGTTGGTGTAGAGATCTAAATAAACACTGAGCTAAACCAGAGGACAGGAAGCAGGCAATGTTTGTGATTAAGTGGAGGGTAGCTGAGTAGAACAGTGTGTCATTAGACTTGAGCCTAAAAAAAACACCTGGCTCCCTCACAGGCAGCTGTCTGTTGTTTCTATGTAAAACTAATTCTCGCAGGGCTGCTTGTCAGTGTTGATGTTGTACTGAAGCTTCATGATGCCCTGTAACCCTCAAACTCAACTCTGGACCTCAAAGCCAGTTCCACTGCATTTTTTCATTGTTCCCCTCTAATCAGGGACTGATTTAGACCTGGGACACCATGTATGTGCAATTCATTTTCAGGTAGAACAGAAAAACAGCAGGCTCCGGACCTCATAGGGTAAGAGTTGAATACCCCTGCCCTATAACATGTAGTGAAATGTGTACTCCTGGGTTGAATTCCCATGACATTAGTGTTTGGTTGCAAAGAGAGCTGCCCTCACTTGGCCTGTGTTTGTTTTGCCGTGAGCCAGGGGCACCATGAGGAAGTGAGTCAGTATTACACAATGAGTTTACAGCCAGTCAGGACAGGACAAACCAGCTTAAACCAACCACACTATCCTTCCAGTAGTGTGTTTGTGTGCGTGCGTGGCTTAACCTGCCGCACTGTCTTTATCTCTTTCTCTCCCTCTCCCTCTCCCTCTCTCTCACACACTTACATGTTTTGTCAGATCATTACCTCACCTTTACCTGCTCACTCACCATGCCAATCGATCACCTTGGTAACATGACATCACTGCTGTGTCACCTGATCTCAGATTAATGCTATTGGCTGGGTTAATCTGTTTTTCAGACTGCCAAGGCTCTAAAGGCCTCGATGGGGAGGAGGAGGGGCAGCCATTAGAGACACAAGACAATTTAGTGTGACTGGGGATGATTTATTCTGCAGGAAATTACTTATTACTCTGCTCTGCTCCTACCTTATTGTTTCTCCTGATAATAAGTATTGCTTCTCCGCGTTACAGTGCTAATTCAAAGACGCTAGACAAACTTCAAAGATACTAGAGCGAGAAGAGCGCAACGCCAAAACATTTAGTTAATGTCTATGTTTGAAGTGTTCCATTCATTTCCCATTTTGACAGGTCAATATTGACACTGCAGCCCAGCCCCCTCCCCCCCATATGAATGTGACAGACTCCTCTCTGCTGCCAGTCATTTGTCGTGACCAACAGTAGGTCTCTTTTCAGGTCTTCTCCGTGTCTCCTGGTCCTACAGGTGGTCACTGTCCTCATGTGGACTATACTCACCACACTCTTTCACCTCAGACTTATTTTTAGCAACAACTTTGAAAGGGGTTGGCGTGGGACAGTTTAGCAGTCACAAAATGTAATATAGCAGCATTTGCTGACTCGCTGATAATGGGGAGCATACTGGAAATACTGAAAATATAGTTAAATAGTTGCCAAAAAAATGTTAAGTGCAGATTTTTGTGTTTAGCTGTGGCGTCTACAGGTCTGGAGATGTCTGTAATGAGGTATTTATGTGTGAATGTTTATGTTGTGTTTTCCAGGGATCTGAAGCTGGACAATGTGCTCCTTGATAAGGACGGACACTGTAAACTGGCTGATTTCGGCATGTGCAAGGAGGGCATGTTTGAAGGTGTGGCCACGGGCACCTTCTGTGGGACTCCTGACTATATCGCCCCAGAGGTCAGTTTAACCCCCTCTACTCATATACCCCTTCCGCTGCTCTAAGATGGCATTCTTTACCCCAATGGTAATCATGAAACATCAGTTTCCCATAAATCTGTCTGTCATTAGAGTTCACATTCTTTAGGAGCCAGCCCAAGTCCCAGCCCCACTACATCACCCCACCACTCTGAATACCAGCACTGTGACCACTGGTCCTCTAGTCCAGCCTCTCTGGTGGTTAGCAGCTAGGTAACACACCTGTGTTGGATTGGCCACCTGCCACCATTTCAGTTCTGTCAGGAGAGCCCCATCTGCCTCTCACAGGCTCTGTTTGCCAACATTCTTTAAATCCCCACCACCAAATGCACCAAGAGAGGGGTCCTTTGTGAATATGAATATTAATGTATGTATTGGAGTGTGCATGGGTTTGTACGGGAAGCATTTAGTCCGATTTTTATGACTAAAGGGCACAAGTCTGGATTTATGAAGGGCTTCATTGCCATCCCCAACACTCAGTCCTCAGTGTATCCCAATGAAGAGCAGCTAAACTCAGTGACCGGTCTTGGCTTAGTGGAGTTTGGTGTTACCTTCTGTAATATTCCAGGTGATGAAGTACAGTACAGGTTCTTTGCTGTGGTGTGTAAAGTGGTTTGATGTGATGTGTTGTGGGTACCCAGATCCTTCAGGAGATGCTGTACGGGCCGTCTGTGGACTGGTGGGCTCTTGGTGTGCTGCTCTACGAGATGCTGTCTGGCCATGCCCCCTTTGAGTCGGAGAACGAGGACGACCTGTTTGAGTCCATCCTGAATGAGGAGATCATCTATGCATCCTGGCTGAGTGCTGATGCAGTAAATATCCTGAAAGCTGTAAGTCTATCCTTAATGCGGAGCTCATCAATCTTTCCTGAATGACCACAGTTAATCATGTCAATTACAGTCAATGTTGTTCATGTTACAGAGGCCTTTATAGTGTTTACATCAGAGAATGTACAGGTACAGTGCATTCGAAAAGTATTCAGACCCCTTGACTTTTTCCACATTTTGTTACTTTTAAAATGGATTCAATTGTTAGTTTTTTTCCTCATCAATTTATACACAATACCCCATGATGACAAAGCAAAAACAGGTTTTTAGAAATGGTTGCAAATTTATAAAAAATTAAAAACGGAACTATTTAAATAAGTATTCAGACCCTTTGCTATGAGACTCAAAATTGAGCTCAGGTGCATCCTGTTTCCATTGATCATCCTTGAGATGTTTCTACAACTTGATTGGAGTCCACCTGTGGTAAATTGAATTGATTGGACATGATTTGGAAAGGCACACACCTGTCTATATAAGGTCCCACAGTTGACAGAGGTCGAAGGAAGTGTCCGTAGAGCTATGAGATAGGATTGTGTCGAGGCACAGATCTGGGGAAGGGTACCAAAAAAATTCTGCAGCAATAAAGGTTCCCAGGAACGCAGTGGCCTCCATCATTCTTAAATAGAAGAAGTTTGGAACTACCAAGACTCTTTCTAGAACTGGCCGCCCGGCCAAACTGAGCAATCGGGGAGAAGGGCCTTGGTCAGGGAGGTGAGAGAAGGGAGAACCTTCCAGAAGGACAACCATCTCTGCAGCACTCCACCAATCAGGCCTTTATGGTAGAGTGACAAGACGGAAGCCACTCCTCATTAAAAGGCACATGATAGCTCGCTTGGGGTTTGCCAAAAGGCACCTAAAGTACTCTTAGACCATGAGAAACAAGATTATCTGGTCTGATGACACCAAGATTGAACTCTTTGGCCTGAATGCCAAGCATCACGTCTGCAGGAAACCTGGCATCATCCCTACGGTGAAGCATGGTGGTGGCAGCGTCATGCTGTGGGGATGTTTTTCAGCGGCAGGGAGACTAGTCAGGATCGAGGGAAAGGTGAACGGAGCAAAGTACAGAGAGATCCTTGATGAAAACCTGCTCCAGAGCGCTCAGGACCTCAGACTGGGGCGAAGGTTCACCTTCCAACAGACTACGCAGGAGTGGCCTCGAGACAAGTCTCTAAATGTTCTTGAGTGGCCCAGCCAGAGCCCGGACTTGAACCCGATCGAACATCTCTGGAGAGACCTGAAAATAGCTGTGCAGCGACGCTCCCCATCCAACCTGACAGAGCTTGAGAGGGTCTGCAGAGAAGAATGGGAGAAACTCCCCAAATGCAGGTGTGCCAAGCTTGTAGCGTCATACCCAAGAAGCCTCTTGGCTGTAATCGCTGCCAAAGGTGCTTCAAAAATTACTGAGTAAAGGGTCTGAATACTTATGTAAATGTATATTTCCTGAGTTTTTTTATTTATAAATTTGCAAAAATTTATAAAAACATGTTTTTGCTTTGTCATTATATAGTATTCTGTGTAGATTGATGAGGGAAAAAATACATGTAATATATTTTAGAATAAGGCTGTAACGTAACAAAATGTGGAAAGAGTCAAGGGGTCTGAATACTTTCCGAATGCAATGTAACTGCCAAAATAAAGGAAACCCTTGAGTAAATGAAGGACACAAAGTACAGTTGAAGTCGGAAGTTTACATACACTTAGGTTGGAGTCATTAAAACTCGTTTTTTCAACCACTCCACAAAGTTCTTGTTAACAAACTATAGTTTTGGCAAGTCGGTTAGGACATCTACTTTGTGCATGACACAAGTCATTTTTCCAACAATTGTTTACAGACAGATTATTTCACTTATAATTCACTGTATCACAATTCCAGCGGGTCAGAAGTTTACATACACTAAGTTGACTGTGCCTTTAAACAGCTTGGAAAATTCCAGAAAAGTATGTCATGGCTTTAGAAGCTTCTGATAGGCTAATTGACATCATTTGAGTCAATTGGAGGTGTACCTGTGGATGTATTTCAAGGCCTACCTTCAAACTCAGTGCCTCTTTGCTTGACATCATGGGAAAATCCAAAGAAATCAGCCAAGACCTCCAAAAAATGGTAGACCTCCACAAGTCTGGTTCATCCTTGGGAGCAATTTCCAAACGCCTGAATGTGAATGTAAATGTAAGGTTCCACATTCATCTGTACAAACAATAGTACGCAAGTATAAACACCATGGGACCATGCAGCCATCATACCGCTCAGGAAGGAGACGCGTTCTGTCTCCTAGAGATGAACGTCCTTTGGTGCGAAAAGTGCAAGTCAATCGCAGAACAACAGCAAAGGACCTTGTGAAGATGCTGGAGGAAACAGGTACAAAAGTATCTATATCCACAGTAAAACGAGTCCTATATCGACATAACCTGAAAGGCCGCTCAGCAAGGAAGAAGCCACTGCTCCAAAACCGCCATTAAAAAGCCAGTCTACGGTTTGCAACTGCACATGGGGACAAAGACCGTACTTTTTGGAGAAATGTACTCTGGTCTGATGAAACAAAAATAGAACTGTTTGGCCATAATGACCATCATTATGTTTGGAGGAAAAAGGGGGACGCTTGCAAGCCGAAGAACACCATCCCAACCGTGAAGCACCATGCTGTGGAGGTGCTTTGCTGCAGGATGGACTGGTGCACTTCATAAAATAGGAAGGCATCATGAGGAAGGACAATTATGTGGATATATTGAAGCAACATCTCAAGACATCAGTCACGAAGTTAAAGCTTGGTCGCAAATGGGTCTTCCAAATGGACAATGACCCCAAGCATACTTCCAAAGTTGTGGCAAAATGGCTTAAGGATAACAAAGTCAAGGTATTGGAGTGGCCATCACAAAGCCCTGACCTCAATCCTATAGAAAATGTGTGGGCAGAACTGAAAAAGCATGGAGCAAGGAGGCCTACAAAACCTGACTCAGTTACACCAGCTCTGTCAGGAGGAATGGGCCAAAATTCACCCAACTTATTGTGGGAAGCTTGTGGAATGTTTGACCCAAGTTAAACAATTTAAAGGCAATGCTACCAAATACTAATTGAGTGTCTGTAAACTTCTGACCCACTGGGAATGTGATGAAATAATTAAAAGCTGAAATAAATCATTCTCTCTACTATTATTCTGACATTTCACATTCTTAAAATAAAGTGGTGATCCTAACTGACCTAAAACAGGGAATTTTTACTAGGATTAAATGTCAGGAATTGTGAAAAACTGAGTTTAAATGTATTTGGCTAAGGGGTATGTAAACTTCCGACTTCAATTGTATATTGAAAGCAGGTACTTCCATCCACACAGGCGTGGTTTTCTGAGTTAATTTAATGATAATATTTTTGCATTGTAATTCCAGAAAATGTCCTTAATATATCTACAGTAATAGTGGAATTGTGTTTTGTAATATTTTTTCCCAAAATTAATAATCTTGCCCACACAAAATTGCATTTTAATGGTGTAGCAGCCTTATTGGTCAACAAAAGTCGGACCGGCTCTTGTTGTCAAATTTACTGGGGTCAGCAGATCTCTTGTCAATTAAACAACGTACCAGTCAATTTGACAACAAGAGATTTGCTGGCCCCAGTCAATTTGACAAGAGATGGTTCGTTGTTGAATTGTTACATGTAGTACCTTTTTAAGCAATTAACATCCTATCATGCTTAGGGTCATGTATAAAAATGCCCAGTTGCCCATTATTTTGGCTACCATGGCTAGAAGAGATTTCTTTGAAAGAGGGGTCTCAAAGGAGCAAAGGGGTTTAAAGTGTGTGTGTCAGACACCAGATCTCAACCCAATTGAACACTTATGGGAGATTCTTGAGCGGTGCCTGACAGAGCGTTTTCCACCACCATCAACAAAACACCAAATTATGGTATTTCTTGTGGAAGAATGGTGTCGCAACTCTCCAATAGAGTTTCAGACACTTGTAGAATCTATGCCAAGGCGCATTGAAGCTGTTCTGGTGGCTCATGGTCTCCCAACTCCCTATTAAGACACTTTATGTTGGTGTTTCATTTATTTTGGCAGTTACTTGTATGTCAAAGAGTACAATTTGTCTCTGAACCAAAGAGCAAGGAAATCAATATCTGCACAGTTGTATATTTAGAGCTTTAGAACCAATAAGTACAATTAGCCTACCAGTCAGCTGTTTGCATAATGGGATACCAACATTATAGACCGCCAGTTTTAAGTAGCAACGCTTCCATACGAACGTAACTGGCACCCAGACATCTGTGGCTATATACACAGGGAGAGAATGCATATAAGCCGCAGTGGTGTAAAGTACTTAAGTAAAAATACTTTAAAGTACTACTCATTTTTAGAGATACTGTACTTTACTTAACTATTTATATTTTTGGCAACTTTTACTTCACTACATTCCTAAAGAAAATATTGTACTTTTTACTCCGTACATTTTCCCTGACACGCAAAAGTACTAGTTACGTGTTGAATGCTTAGCAGGACAGGATAATTGTCCAATTCACACACTTACCAAGAGAACATCCCTGGTCATCCCTACTGCCTCTGATCTGGCGGACTCACTAAACACAAATGCATCATTTGTAAATTATGTCTTGAGTGTTGGAGTGTACCCCTGGCTATCCATACATTTTTAAAATGCCGTCTGCTTTGCTTAATATAAGGAATTTGAAATGATTTATACTTTTACTTTTGATACTTAAGTATATTTTAGCAATTACATTTACTTTTGATACTTAAGTGTATTTAGAACCAAATACTTTTAGACTTTTACTCAAGTAGTATTTTACTGGGTGACTTTCACTTTTACTTGAGTAACTTTCTATTAAGGTATCTATACCTTTACCCAAGTATGACAATTGGCTACTTTTCCCACCGCTGATAAGCCCTCAGGTTAGAGCGATCACACAGGGCAGGGGTTTGGGGATAGTTTTTGGTCAGTGCAGCGCTGTAGCTGGGTGTGTAACAGATCATCTGGGTCCTAGTGTATGACTGTAGCCACACCCACAGTGCTCCCACAGTGCTCCCCCCCCCTCCCCCCACTGATTCAAACAGAGAGCACATTGTTTGGTGTTTGACAGTTGAGATGCTGAGGTTGACATTTTCCCACCTCATATTTGACTGTCAAATAAGAGAGGGGTAAATGTGTTTCATTGTCTTGTTGCTTTGCATTAGAGGTCTTCTCAGATCCCAAAATTGAGATCCGAACCGAATTGGATCCGTTAAATTCCGACCCCACCCCTGAGGTGGACCATATCCGATCCAAAAGATGTCCGAGCTCAGAGAGAATCGCATCGAAATTGGGTCGGTCTGTATCCGACCTACATGGATCCGAAATATAAAAAATGCAAACCAGCAAAAAATGCTGACATGTCTGGCATTGAACTTTAATGTGATTTTTGGTTGTATCTAAAATAATTGCAGCTTAGTATTTTCACAATGACATCCCTATAGTTAGATGGAGAACATTATGAGGTTTTCTTTATTTCTGTTGACCAAATATATGAGTAGGATGATTTTTTTTATGTGATGATGAGCGAATAGTTCACTTTTTTCTGTAACCTAATATTATGTAGGCCTATTATTTTACTGAGCAACATTACAATCTAGCCTATTTAACTTTTTTGATCAACATTGATTTAGACTAAAGGTAGGCCTGTTTGACCAGCAAGCTGCAAATTACAGGAGGATGGAGTCTCCCATCTGCATTCCTGTGTCATTTCCAATAATTGTGATCTGTAGGTCTAGGTTAGTTTTCTCGCTATGACAACGCTACAATTGGATGTCGAATATTTTGAGGTTTTTAGAGATCTGTTAATTTTGTTTCTGTTGACCATATTTTTGAGATTAGAGGATTTGTATATGGTGATATATAGGACGCCTAGTGAGTGCTGTGTGTTAAGACATATTTTGGTAGGCTATTTCTATAACTCAGGTCTAACTCATTATAATAGCCTAATATTTTTTGTTCTAAATGAAATGTGGATATATCCTTTAGGCCTACAGAATTAGCCTATACAGCCTGAGATTGGTTTGGATGCGGGTTTGATAGAAAAGTAATGCATGCTACGGCTGTGTAATCCTACCGTCCAGAGAGTTAATAAAAGATGAATCATTGAAGAAAGAAGTTGTCCTGATATTTCTTATACCTATCCATGCCATACACAATCAATAAATCGGCAGCCTTTCAATGTCCGGCTACAACGTTTTCTGCAGATAAACCTATGGCTATCAGCACACACACACATACACACGCAACATGAGCAGATTCACTTGGTAAATTTTTTTTCTTTATTAAAGACGATCAGAAAGAATGTGTCGGTAACTTTGCATTATAGAATAACTTATTTAGTTTAAATGAAAGCCACAACTAGCACATGAATGAGTCACTAATCTTTGCTGACAAATATCACACTTGACTTGAGTCATTAAACATTAGTTAACAAACTGTTATTTTAAACAAAGAAAATACCCAAATAAAATAGCTAAATAGCCTACTAAATAGGCCACGCCCAAACAAATTAGAGAGCCTAAATAAACTAGTAAATTGAATAAATAAAATAATTACATTAAATAGCTCAGGTCTTGAAAATATGGGCGACCAGCTTTTTCCCCTCCTTATCCACAATGTGCATAAATGAGGCCCATACAGAGGATTTGCCTGTCGGGTTTGCCTCCCTGTACTCTCTTTCATTCAGTTTATTCTTCACATCAGCAAAGAATGACTCAATGTTTCATTAACTCACTTTATATAGACAGGGGCTATCACTCTTTCCCACTGCGTCCTCCTCCTCTCCCACAACAAGGAGCCTATTTTACCCCGCGCCACTGACGTACAGTGGCTCATTTTCATAAAGTGAATATGCAGTTTTGTCGCAAAATGATAAAAAATGATATTGACACATTTGGTTTGATGAAAGGGGTAATCATATGAGAGAATAAAATGTAAATGTGTGAAATGTGTGTTTATGTTGTTTAGGAAGTTAAGAACTAAACTCTTCAAATATAATACCGACCTCGGATCCCGGGTCATTATTTCACATATTTTCACACAGATCCGAGGTTCGTGGGCACTGAGCGGGATCCGGCCCAGGATCCGAGGGTTAACTACAAAATGTCGGGTTGGATCCGGGTCAGATATCGGATAATCCGGTTCGGGTAGATCCGTGAAGACCTACTTTGCATGTCTCTCTATCTGATATAGTTGGCTTTTTCCCTGCATGGTGTCTCTGCAGAGTTTAGTTCTCAGGCCTGGCAGAGTGGATGGATGGCACAGCTCCGGTAGAGCCAGTGGAAAATATGATTGACTCAAATGGGATTGCCCAATTTCAACTTTGTGGTCAGTTGAGAAGGACAGAATTACATAGTGCATTTCTCTCTGTCTCATCATGAACTGAATGACCCATTTCCTTTGATCCTCTACACTTCTCTCCAATGCTCTCATAGCCTCTGCTTGTCTCCTCCTTTCTCTACATCTGCTCTCCTCTCCCCTCTTCTCTTCTCCTCTTTCACTGTGAACTGCTTTGTTCAAATGGAAAAAAAACAAGATGGCACTGGGGTGATTAAGAGTGTTACTTAGATTAGATCTCGCTTTAATTCTGGTCAAGTCTCTGTTCGTTAACTGTGTTTGGGTCTGGTGTGACAAGACCTATTCATCTTAGGGTGGACTGGGGGTGAATCTGGCCTCATTCATCCTGGGAGAGAGAGGGCTGCTCATTAGTTTTGGCTGAGTGGGAATGCCACTGCTAGCCCCAAGGTGTGTGTTCAGACTCCTCCGCCAACACAAAGCTGTTCATTTGTTAGTCTGGAATCGCTCCTCTGGGAAATGTGTTTTTAATGTTGGTTTGTTGTTTTTCCTTTGACTCTTAATTCCCCTCAGCTGCTCTAATCCTCCAACTTCAGATGTTAGTCAGAAGAATGTAAGGTCCACGTCTTAAGTCCAGGAAATGGTTGCTTGGTTTTGTTGGCTCACAGTTAAGATGAATAGAATTTACAAAACACGTTTGTGTCTCGCCAGATGCCAAGATGAGCTGGAAAAGAAGGTGCTACTGGGCCTCTGGGTGTGTGTGTGTGTGTGTGTGTGTTTCTGCAAGTGTGTCAGGGAGGTGGATGGGATGTCATTCAAGGTCGAACCAGAGCTGATGCAATTCTCAAAAGTCAAATTATAAGCCACACTCAAATGATATACTCCACCCTTTCATTAACACACATTTATATAATTTTATTTTACTTTTATTCACTTCTCATATGCAGTTATATTTCTGTTCTCTCCACAGTTCCTGACTAAGAACCCAGCCCGGCGTCTAGGCTGCGTGGCGGCGGAGGGCGGGGAGAACGCTGTGACTAGCCACGCCTTCTTCACTGGAATTAACTGGGACAAGCTGAACTGCAGGGAGCAGGAGCCGCCCTTCAAACCCCGCATCGTAAGACACACACACACACTTGATACACACCCGACACACACACCTGATACACGCACTCCGCATCGTAAGTCTCATACACACACACCTGATACACCTGATGAATCACACACACAACTGATACACATGTTTGATGTCAATACAAACTGTTTACAGTAGACACTACGGTTGAATTGTAAAACCTACCTCTGTCTTATTGTACCATTACAATGCACACCCAGTTTACTCTCTTATCCATTGTATTATGGTAGGTAGTGGCCTGGGTTATGAAGGACATGCAAATGAAGGTGGTATCTGTTGGCAGTTAACCCCAAAGTATTTATAGAACCTCTCACTGATCTTTTGTGTTATTGTAACGTTACCTCCTATGCTGTCTAACCAACACTCCAGAAAACTGCGGAGGACGTGAACAACTTTGACCCAGACTTCACCCAGGAGGAGCCCACCCTGACGCCCATTGAGGACCTCCTTCCCTCCATCAACCAGGACGAGTTCCACAACTTCTCCTTCACCTCTCCTGAGCTGCTGGACGACTAGGAGGGCCTGTGTGACACCCCAGCACCCCCAGACTTCTGCTCTACCAACTGAGCCATACAGGACCACAATGTGTCTGGCTCTGGCTAGTTCACAGGCACAGTTGACTGGTTGGCACTGCCTTAGCCTGTATCTCTAATGTTGAAGGGCAGTTTAGACTCCGCCCTCGTCACTGTGGGATATGACTGTCTGGTTCTCTGTGGAGAAAGAGAGAGAAGTTACTCAATGAGGCCAGATTTTAATCAGATGTTCTGTTTTTCCATGATCCTTCCTGTCATATTTGGAAAACATGGGACAGTCCTGACTTATAACCATTTTACATTTTAGTCATTTAGCAGACGCTCTTATCCAGAGCGACTTACAGTTAGTGAGTGCATACATTTATTTTCTTCATAACCTTGTGTATTAATGCGTAATAATGCTCTTACAGTATCTGATTGACTGCAATGCAAAGCCATTTTAATGGCAATTTGTCCCCTGATATGGAAAGATTAATTTGCCTACAGGTACTTCAAGATGAATATGTCACTTTTTGAACAATTGGGAATTGTGTGTGTCTGTGTGTGTCTTTATTAACTTGGCATACCTTTTGTTCAATGCTGGGATCATTATTCAAGATAACTGCCTGTGACTCCAGCACAGTCAACACAAATGATGGCAGGGAAAAGGGTAACGTAACCAGCACTGGAAAGGTTTCCCAGAACAACTGAGCTGCTCGTTAATACTGGACTGCAGAGGGGGCTGTGTGAAATAGTTTCTCAGTGATGTGAGTCCTTTACGGAGAACACACCCTCAAACACACACACACACACACACTCACTCAATCATTCGAGTAGATAAATGTCAGACACTTTCCCCTTCCCTCAAACACAGGGATGTGGTATGTGGAGAGAGAGAAGAGAAAGGGAGAGAGGGAGACATTGTGTCTTACACCTTGTTTTGTCTCTGCTTTTTAAGAATACGTCTCACCCTGTGCCCTGTCAAAATGGTACATTGCTAAAGCTTTGTTCCCTGCATTTAAGATTGGTTTATGAAAGCATATGTTTCTAGTGAGAAGTTGTTTTTATACATTATTTTCTGAAGGAATCTTTTGTCATTGGTCAACAGTGTGAGATGATGCAACATTTCATCTGTATTGACTGAACTGGTGATTCAGAGCTGTTGTGAAATTTCAGAAAGTTTTTCTCTGTTGCATCTGCCTGCACATATCAGCACCTGGTGAAGAGTTGGGTAAATTGAGAATGTATAGCAGATGTCAGACAAGGAAGAAAACCAATTACAAACATGCCAATGGTCAAAACAAAAGCTTATTTTTTGGATGAGGTTTATATGGATTAAGGTGTGCTTTAATAACTGCCAATACCTAAATTCTCTTATTTTTATTTTATCCAGTTCTTTGTGATCACAGTCCTTCAACAGTTAACTTAATACCATTTATTAATTTCCCCCAGACCCACCCTTTCTCACACACTCACGGAATTTATCTGCAATGAGACATTCCTTGTTTGTGGGCAGACAGGCTGGGAGACAGGCTGCAGGCTGCCAGCACAGTGAAAGCTCTTTTCAAGGCTGTAAATCATGAAGGTAATGGAAAATGCTCTCCAATGTCCATTGACTTACAGTGCCTTCAGAAAGTATTCATACCCCTTGACTTATTCCACATTTTGTTGTGTTATAGCCTGAATTCAAAATTGATTAAATTTATGTTTTTTCTCACCCATCTACACACAATGATGAAAAAGTTGTAGCTAATTTTTTGAAAATGAAATACAGAAATATCTAATTTACATAAGTATTCACACCCCTGAGTCAATACTTTGTAGAAGCACCTTTGGCAGCGATTACAGCTTAGTCTTTCTAGGTAAGTCTCAAAGAGCTTTCACATCTGGATTGTGCAACATTTGCCCATTTATTATTTTCAAAATTCTTTAAGGTCTGTCAAATTGGTTGTTGATCATTGCTAGACAACCATTTTCAAGTCTTGCCATAGATTGTCAAGTGATTGAAGTCAAAACTGTAACTCAGCCACTCAGGAACATTCACTGTCTTCTTGGTAAGCAACTCCAGTGTAGATTTGGCCTTGTGTTTTAGGTTATTGTCCTGCTGAAAGTTGAATTCATCGTCCAGTGTCTGGGGAAAAGCAGACAATCAGGTTTTCCTGTAGGATTTTGCCTTTGCTTAGCTCCTTCCCATTAATTTTTTTGTCCCGAAAAACTCCCCAGTCCTTAACGATTACTAGCATACCCATAACATGATGCAGCCACCACTACGCTTGAAAATATGGAGAGAGGTACTCAGTAATGTCTTATATTGGATTTGCCCCAAACATATTAAGTACAAAAAGTAAATTGCTTTGCCACATCTTTTGCAGTATTACTTTAGTGCGTTGTTGCAAACAGGATGCATGTTTTGGAATATTTTTATTCTGTACAGGCTTTCTTTTCACTCTGTCAATTAGGTTAGTATTGTGGAGTAACTACAATGTTGCTGATCCATCCTCAGTTTTGTCCTATCACAGCCATTAAATTCTAACTGTTTTAAAGTCACCATTGGCCTCATGGTGAAATTCCTGAGCGGTTTCCTTCCTCTCCGGCAACTGAGTTAGGAAGGACGCCTGTATCTTTGTAGTGACTGGGTTTATTGATACATCATCCAAAGTGTAATTAATAACTTCAACATGCTGAAAGGGATATTCAATGTCTGCTTTTTTTATTTTTACCCATCTACCAATACAGTGCCTTGCAAAAGTATTCATCCCCTTGGAGTTTTTCCTATGTTGTTGCATTACAACCTGTAATTTAAATTGATTTTTATTTGGATTTCATGTAATGGACATACACAAAATACTCCAAAATGGTGAAGTGAAATAAAAAAAATAACTTGTTTCAAAAAATTCTAAAAAATATATAACGAAAAAGTGGTGTGTGCATATGTACTCACCCCCTTTGCTATGAAGCCCCTAAATAAGATCTGGTACAACCAATTACCTTCAGAAGTCACATAATTAGTTAGATTGCACACAGGTGGACTTTATTTAAGTGTCACATGATCTGTCACATGATCTCAGTATATATACACCTGTTCTGAAAGGCCCCAGAGTCTGCAACACCACTAAGCACGCGGCACCATGAAGAGCAAGGAGCTCTCCAAACAGGTCAGGGACAAAGTTGTGGAGAAGTACAGATCAGAGTTGGGTTATAAATAAATATCCGAAACTTTGAACATCCCACGGAGCACCATTAAATCTATTATTAAAAAATCGAAATAATATGGCACCACAACAAACCTGCCAAGAGAGGGCCGCCCACCAAAACTCACGGACTAGGCAAGGAGGGCATTAATCAGAGAGGCAATAAAGAGACCAAAGATAACCCTGAAGGAGCTGCAAAGCTCCACAGCGGAGATTGGAGTATCTGTCCATAGGACCACTTTAAGCCATACACTCCACAGAGCTGGGCTTTACGGAAGAGTGGCCAGAAAAAAGCCATTGCTTAAAGAAAAAAATAAGCAAACCTGTTTGGTGTTGGCCAGAAGGCATGTGGGAGACTCCCCAAACATATGGAAGAAGGTACTCTGGTCAAATGAGACTAAAATTGAGCTTTTTGGCCATCAAGGAAAACAATATGTCTGGCGCAAATCCAACACCTCTCATCATCCCGAGAACACCATCCCCACAATGAAGCATGGTGGTGGCAGCATCATGCTGTGGGGATGTTTTTCATCGGCAGGGACTGGGAAACTGGTCAGAATTGAAGGAATGATGGATGGTGCTAAATATAGGGAAATTCTTGAGGGAAACCTGTTTCAGTCTTCCAAAGATTTTGAGATTGGGACGGAGGTTCACCTTCCAGCAGGACAATGACCCTAAGCATACTGCTAAAGCAACACTCAAGTGGTTTAAGGGGAAACATTTAAATGTCTTGGAATGGCCTAGTCAAAGCCCAGACCTCAATCCAATTGAGAATATGTGGTATGACTTAAAGATTGCTGTACACCAGTGGAACCCATCCAACTTGAAGGAGCTGGAGCAGTTTTGCCTTGAAGACTGGGCAAAAATCCCAGTGGCTAGATGTGCCAAGCCTATTGAGACATACCCCAAGAGACTTGCAGCTGTAATTGCTGCAAAAGGTGGCTCTACAAATGTTAACTCTGGGGGGGTGAATAGTTATGCACGCTCAAGTTCAGTTTTTTTGTCTTATTTCTTGTTTGTTTCACAATAAAAAATATTTTGCATCTTCAAAGTGGTAGGCATGTTGTGTAAATCAAATGATACCAACCCCCCATAAAAATCCATTTTAATTCCAGGTTGTAAGGCAACAAAATAGGAAAAATGCCAAGGGGGGTGAATACTTTCGCAAGCCACTGTAGGTGCCCTTCTTTGCGAGGCATTGGAAAACCTCCCTGGTCTTGTGGTTGAATCTGTGTTTTAAATTCACTGCTCGACTGAGGGACCTTACAGATAATTTTATGTGTGGGGTACAGAGATGAGGTAGTCATTCAAAATTAATGTTGAACACTATTATTTTATACAGAATGAGTCCATGCAACTTATTATGTGACTTGTTAAGCAAACATTTACTCCTTAACTTTTTTAGGCTTACCATAACAAAGGGGTTGAATACTTATTGACTCAAGACATTTCAGCTTTTCATTTTTAATTAATTTGTAAAAGATTTGAAAAACATTATTCTATTTTGACATTAGGGGGTGTTGTGTGTAGGCCAGTGACAAAAAAATCTAAATTTTATCCATTTTAAATTCAGGCTCTAACACAACAGAAAGTCAAGGGGTGTGAATACTTTCTGAAGGTATATGATGGACCAACTGCCTAGAGCTAACACTATACCTTACCTATTCAAATCTATAGGAGACTGCATCCGATTATACTTTCTATGTTGCTTCATGGATCTCCTGAGAAAGAGGGAGAACGAAAATGCAGTTGCAACCCTAACCATAACAGATATCCATCATCTGTTTGAGTCATCATGTACTGTATATCTTACATTCTTACTGTCGTCACAGATGAGAAATGGATCAACAGGAAACCACAGAGTGTCACGACTGTCGTATCTGATAGCTACAGGAAGGTGAGGTTACTGTTAGATGAAAAAGAGAGACTCAGACGTTGGCCAAGCAACAACACTTCTCTGGCCTTGAAGTAAATCCCATTAGTCAGTAGAAACAATGTGCTATCCTGTGTTGAACCTGCTCAAATCTGGAAGTTCTTGACCCTGAGATGTGCACGGATATGTTCAGATAGTATGGGAACTTCCTGCCATTTAGCACCGGGAAAGTCTTCAGACTCCTTACCAGAGTCACTGATCTATCCTGTGGGTGTTGTGCTGGAAGAAATTACACCCTGTAAGTTAAAAAAATAGCATTGTCTGAAAACAATGCCAGAAAATGTCCCTCCCCTAAACAGAGCCCCACTGGGCAAAAACTGGTTGAATCAAGGTTGTTTCCACATCATTTCAACAACAAAAAAGTATATGTGATGTCGTTGAATCAATGTGGGAAAACTAATTGGATTTGCAAAAAGTCATCAACTTAAGGGAATTTTGTATTTTCCCCCCCCAAACTTTTAACCTAATTCCACTGACTTTGTGACAATTTTAGTTGATTTCAGGTTGAATTTACGTTAGTTGACAACTAACCAAATGTAAATCAAAACTAGATGTTGAAATTACATCTGTGCCCAGTGAGAAGTAATGGACAAGATGGTACAATGGACATTTTGTACATTGTTGTTCCACTAGCCTGTGCTACAAAGACACATAGGCCTTATGTCAACTCTTTTCAGTTGAAAAATAATGCCTTGCACGGCTCTAAAATTAAAGTCGCTGAAAGATTTGGATGAATGAAACTTTCCATCCCTTCTCAATAGTTCAGTAAGACCCTGCCAGCACTAAACTCACATAATCCCACCTCTATCTTCTTTATTCTATGATTTACTGGAGCATCAGTTTAGCTCAATCAGTCTGCTTTAATCAGTCCTTGACAAAGATTGAACCCCTATTCAAACTGTCTAGAAGCATTATGGCACAGGCCTCAATTTGGCATCTACCCACACAGCAAATTACTTGGTTGAAACAGGACTATTTTTATGTTTGGAGCCACTTACAGTATTTGAGCATCAGTATTGCCTAATTTCTCTTGCTAGCAGACTTGCCTGTCATTCTGGTCTTGTCACACCCAGTAACCCCCCCCCCCATCCATCCTTTTCCCCCAGCAGGTGAGCACACTGACAGCCTACAAACTCATTCCATGGGGGGGCCTAGTGTCTACAGGTTTTAGTTTTTTCCTTTCAATTAAGAGGGAGGAGCAAAAACCTGTAGACACTCGGCCCTCGTGGAATGAGTTTTACATTTGCCTACAAGGAGGAGGTGAGAGTCCTGGCCTAGTGGTGCCAGGAAAATAACCTCTCCCTCAACGTCAACAAAACGAAGGAGCTGATCGTGGACTATAGGAGACAGCAGAGAGAGCACTTCCCCCATTCACATCAACAGGGCCACAGTGGAGATGGTCAAAAGCTTCAAGTTCCTCTGTGTGCAAATCAAACGTTATGTCACATGCGCCAAATACAACAGACTTTACCGTGAAACACTTACTTAAGAGCCCTTTCCCAACGATGCGGAGTTAAAAAGTAAGAACATTTACAAATACAAATGTCAAATAGTAACACAAATAATAATAATAGTAATAATGAGGTTATGTACAAGGAGTACAGATACCGAGTCAATGTGCATGGGTATGATGTACTGTAGTTGAGGTAATATGTACATGTAGGTAGGTGTAAAAGTGACTAGGCAATCAGGATAGTATGTGGAGTGTGAAAGTGTGTTTGTTTGTGGTGTCAATATACATGTGTGTGTGTAGGAGTGTCAGTGTAAGTGCAGTGCATTCGGAAAGTATTCAGACCCCTTGACTTTTTCCACATTGTTACGTTACAGCCTTATTCTAAAATGGATTAAATAGTTTCTCCCACCCCCGCCTCACATTTACATAAGTATTCAGACCCTTTACTCAATACTTTGTTGAAGCACCTTTTGAAAGAAATTACAGCCTTGAGTCTTCTTGGGTATGACGCTACAAGCTTGGCACACCTGTATTTGGGGTGTTTCTCCCATTATTCTCTGCAGATCCTCTCAAGCTCTGCCAGGTTGGATGGGGAGCGTTGCTGCACAGCTATTTTCAGGTCTCTCCAGAGATGTTCGATCAGGTTTAAGTCCGGGCTCTGTCTGGGCCACTCAAGGACATTCAGAGACTTGTCCCGAAGCCACTCCTGCGTTGTCTTGGCTGTGTGCTTAGGGTCGTTGTCCTGTTGGAAGGTTAACCTTAGTCCCAGTCTGAGGCCCTGAGCGCTCTGGAGCAGGTTTTCATCAAGGATCTCTCTGTACTTTGCTCCATTCATCTTTCCCTCGATCCTGACTAGTCTCCCAGTCCCTGCCGCTGAAAAACATCCCCACAGCATGATGGCCAAAGAGTTCAATCTTGGTTTCATCAAACTAGATAATCTTGTTTCTCATGGTCTGAGAGTCCTTTAGGTGCCTTTTGGCAAACTCCAAGCGGGCTGTCATGTGCCTTTTACTGAGGAGTGGCTTCCGTCTGGCCACTTTACCATAAAGGCCTGATTGGTGGAGTGCTACAGAGATGGTTGTCCTTCTGGAAGGTTCTCCCATCTCCACAGAGGAACTCTGGAGCTCTGTCAGAGTGACCATCGGGTTCTTGGTCACCTCCCTGACCAAGGCCCCTTCTCCCCCAATTGCTCAGTTTGGTTGGGCGGCCAGCTCTAGGAAGAGTCTTGGTGGTTCCAACCTTCTTCCATTTAAGAATGATGGAGGCCACGGTGTTCTTGAGGACCTTCAATGCTGCAGAAATTTTTTGGTACCCTTCCCCAGATCTGTGCTTCAACATAAGCCTTTCTCAGAGCTCTAAAACAATTCCTTCGACCTCATGGCTTGGTTTTTGCTCTGACGTGCACTGTCAACTTATATAGACAGGTGTGTACCTTTCCAAATCATGTCCAATCAATTGAATTTACCACAGGTGGACTCTAATCAAGTTGTAGAAACATCTCAAGGATGATCAATGGAAACAGGATGCACCTGAGCTCAAGTTCGAGTCTCATAGCAAACGGTTTGAATATTTATCATCCTTGAATAAAAACCTGTTTTCACTTTGTCATTATGGGATATTGTGTGTAGATTGATGAGGAAAAAAACGAATTTAATCAATTTTAGAATAAGTCTGTAATGTAACAAAATGTGGAAAAATTCAAGGGGTCTGAATAATTTCCAAATGCACTGTATGTGTGGGTAGAGTCCAGTGAGTGTGCATAGAGTCAGTGCAATAAAGGGTCAATGCAATAACTACTGCTGTAGGCTACACACCTTTTCTATTCATATACACACCATTTATATATACTTATACCACAGAATCTGACCTTGCTCATTCTGATATTGCTCGTTCTGATATGTCTTAATTTCTTACATTTACATTACATTTTAGTCATTTAGCAAACGCTCTTATCCAGAGCGACTTACAGTTAGTGAGTGCATACATTTTTTAAATCTTTTTTTTTTTTTTTTTCATACTGGCCCCCCCGTGGAAATCGAACCCACAACCATGGCGTTGCAAACGCCATGCTCTACCAACTGAGCTACATCCCTGCTGGCCATTCCCTCCCCTACCCTGGACGACGCTGGGCCAATTGTGCGCCGCCCCATGGGTCTCCCGGTCACGGCCAGCTTCGAACCAGGATCTCTAGTGGCACAGCTAGCACTAGCACTGCGATGCAGTGCCTTAGACCACTGCGCCACTCTTGATATTGTTTAAATCTTTTGGATTATGTGTGTATTGTTATTGTATTGCTAGATTTACTGCACTTCGATAACATCTGAAATCTGTGTATGCGATCAATAAACATTGATTTGATTTAATGTTGTATTAGTTTGTATAGATTAAACAGTTTGATATTACTGTTTCATAGAATTTGAGAGGGAAATGCCATCGAACTCTGGTAAATGTGTCATGCTTACATTACAATAGCACTTCAGATGACTTGATGCAAAGGAGTGAAACGAACGTAGCGTAGGCTCATATCAATAGAATCGAATATAAAAATGAATTCTAAGTATATGTATAGGCTAGTACCGAACGTATTTTGACATTATAACGTTTGCAGAGCTGGACTAATGGGACTTTGAACTGAAGGATCCTGGGCGTCAGAGATCTCATTATATTCATCGTCTCCTCAAGCCAGCTACAGGTTCACCCTAAAGCCTAACCTTAACATTTTAATTTCAACTTCAAGGGGGTCTGTACCTCCCAAGGAAGCCGGATAGCGCGCGCTCCGGAAAAGGCAACGAAGAAGTGGGAGGGGATAAGCAGCTGATCAGATAGCTGCTATGCTAACTAGCTACAACATTGTTCCAAGCAACCTTTCCAGCGTGGCACCTCATGCCATTTCGAAGGAATTAAAACACATTATTCTGCACTCATGTTTTGACTTTCCGCGATGGAGGCTTGACCTCTCCGAATTCCATTGATCAACAACACTTATGAAAACATAATTTACGGATTAAATTATTTTTAATAGCTACGTGTATTTTAATTTTTTAGCTCATTTCCGTACGGGCCCGACAAACACAGTTTGATAGCTAACGTCACAGTAGGTACTGATTGTTCGAGTCTTGGCTCAGAAGTTAGTCGTCCTCGTCCTGAAATGGACACAGGAGTTGTCCCAGAAAAGAAAAGGTACGTTAACCTCTAGTTAAATAGCTAGCCAATGTTTTGTTTATTTTTTCACCAAAATAAATAGATGGCTAGATAGCTTCTGTTTGGTTTGTTAACGTTCGATTTTGAGGCGTTTGCGTAGCTACTACTGTAACTAACTATATAGATAATAAACTAAAGCTAGCCTAGCCAGCTAGATAGAGACAACTGGAGTTTTTGTTAAACATTTCATTTAACGGTAGTTAGCTAGCTAGTAACTAACCAATTTAGCTAGCTAAGCTACATTATGTTTTAATAAGCTAATGTTAACTAACTAGGTTCTTGGCTCCGTAAGTTAGTCAGTACAGTCAAGAGGTCGCAAGATGGATACACTATCACTTAACTAAGGGCTGATTCAATCTGTATCGCTGAAGTTCAGCGCTATGGTGAGATTGAAATGTCAAGGTAATTTCTATACACTACATGGACAGAAGTATGTGGACACTCCATCAAATTAATGGATTCGGCTATTTCAGACACCCGTTGCTGAAAGGTGTATAAAATGGAGCAGACAGCCATGCAATCTCCATAGATAAACATTGGCAGTAGACTGGCCCGTACGGAAGTCTTTCAAAGTGGCACCATCATAGTATGCCTATTTTCCAACAAGTCAGTTCGTCAAATTTCTGCCCTGCTAGAGCTGCCCCGGTATACTGTAAATGCTGTTATTGTGAAATGGAAATGTCTAGGAGTAACAACGGCTCAGCCGGGAAGTCGTAGGCCACACAAGCTCACAGAACGGGACCGCATAGCATGTAAAAATAATCTGTCCTCAGTTGCAACACTCACTACCGACGTCCAAACTGCCTCTGGAAGCAACGTCAGCACAAGATCTGTTCGTCGGGAGCTTCATGAAATGGGTTTCCATGGCCGAGCAGCCGCACACAAGCCTAAGATCACTATGCGCAATGCCAAGCGTCTGCTGGAGTGGTGTAAAGATTGCCGCCATTGGACTCTGGAGCAGTGGAAACACCTTCTATGGAGTGATGAATCACGCTTCATTATCTGGCAGTCCGATGGACTAATCTGGGTTTGGCGGATGCCAGGAGAACGCTACCTGCCCCAAATGCTTAGTGCCAACTGTAAAGTTTGGTGGAGGAGGAATAATGGTCTGGGGCTGTTTTTCATGGTTCGGGCTAGGCCCCTTAGTTCCGGTGAAGGGAAATCTTAACGCTACAGCATACAATGACATTCTAGACGATTCTGTGCTTCCAACTTTGTGGCAACAGTTTGGGGAAGGCCCTTTCCTGTTTCAGCATGACAATGCCCCTGTGCACAAAGTGAGGTCCATACAGAAATGGTTTGTCGATTTCAGTGTGGAAGAACTTGACTGGCCTGCACAGAGCCCTGACCTCAACACCATCGAACACATTTGGGATTAATTGTAACACAGACTGCGAGCCAGGCCTAATCGCCCAACATCATTACCCGACCTCACTAATGCTCTTGTGGCTGAATGGAAGAAAGTCCTTGAAGCAATGTTCCAACATCTAGTGGAAATCCTTCCCAGAAGAGTGAAGGCTGTTATAGCAGCAAAGGGGGGGGGGGGGGTTAACTCCATGGTTTTGGAATGGGATGTTCGACGAGCACATGTCCACATACTTTTGGCCACGTAGTGTATGCAGCGTTTACAGTGAATGCGGTCTCCAAACGTGGAAACATTGCCTTTAAATTTCCATTGCACTATAGCGCTGAACTTCAGTCATACGGATTGAATCAAGCCCTTACCCTGTTGGCCACCTTGACCTTCTTGACCAAGATGACAAATGTGACATGTTCGACCAAGTTATACACAGGAATGACAGTGAGATCTTATGAGATGCTGATCATGAATGTTTTGAAGTGTTCAAATTTGGCTTTGAGTGTCAAGAATAGGCAAAGCCCAGCTATGGTATACTGAACAAAAATAAATGCAACAATTTCAAAGATTTTACTGAGTTACAGTTCATATAAGGAAATCAGTTAATTGAAATAAATGTATTAGGTCCTAATCTATTGATTTCACATGGGTGGGCCTGGGAGGGCATAGGCCCACCCACTTGGCAGCCAGGCCCTCCCACTGGGGAGCCAGGCCCAGCCAATCACAATGAGTTTTTCCCCACAAAAGGGCTTTATTACAGACAGGAATACTCCTTTGTGTTTACCAGTCTCCACAGATTGCTGTGATCTTATTTCAGTCTAATTTCTTAATCACTGAGAGCCTGACGTCAATGGGAGTTCCAGGCACAAAGTGTGTGTGGCAATTCACTGGGTGAATTTAATTGGCACTTTCTGTGTACATTGGCCAAATGAAGGAAAAAGCCATTACATTGAACAAACCGTCTATTTAAGATAGTTTTTTTGTGCAAGTAGGCCTATGGGTCTTTCATGATCTATGGTCTTTAATATATTTTCTATCATAGGCATAGGACTAGCTTACTTCCTGTTCTGTACTAAACCTGTAGCTACAGGATGGACCTATTTCATGAGTGTCATTTACACAAGAGCATCAACCCATAGCCTGGGGCGGTTGTGTCTGAGATTGATCAATTTGGTTTTGTGAGAAATTTTTCTTGTTAGGCTGCAATACGATTGAGAGATTAGGAATTTGTCACTGTGCTTAATTAAAAATAGGTTAGAATAGTTTGTAAACATTTTGGTTTGCACAGTGCTGTAAAGTACACTTTACAGCCTGAAAGAGGTTATGTAACACAGCAGACGAGACTATGATTTCTGTCACACTGGACGCTAGTGACAGATCACCCCAAACAGTTCCAAGTAAAAGCAGGTCAGTACTTTTTATTAATTCAGTCAGGGATTTGGGTTACAATAAAATTGGCAATGCCTTTGTACAGCACTGAATGTGAGACCTGTCTTTTGATCCATGTCCACCTGTTTGCATGACTGAGCTTTATCCTCAAATGAATTTCTTATAGAATATATTATTATTATTATTATAAAACAGGGCAATTAAGTCTAAATAACATTATACAACAAATGTGTGGTTAGGCCTATGCTATATCTGCAAGCCAAAATGACATGTAGGACGCTGGTAGGCATGCATGTCCATGTGCGTAGAGATGTTATGAAATGGTGGCCTCTCTTAGCCTTTGTTTTCAGCCCATATTTGTGATCCAGAGGAAGGATGAGAATCAAGGCAGTGCCTACCCTGCTTTTAGAGAAAGGGAAAAAACAACCTCCCATCTGTAGTGTCTAAGGCACATCATCGCAGTGCTAACTGTGCCACTAGAGATCCTGGTTCGAATCCAGGCTCTGTCGCAGCCGGCCACGACCGGGAGACTCATGGGCGGCGCACAATTGGCCCAGCGTCGTCCAGGGTAGGGGAGGGAATGGCCGGCAGGGATGTAGCTCAGTTGATAGAGCATGGCGTTTGCAACACCAGGGTTGTGGGTTCGTTTCCCACGGAGGGCCAGTATAAAAAAAAAAATATATGTATTCACTAACTGTAAGTCGCTCTGGATAAGAGCGTCTGCTAAATGACTAAAATGTAAATGTAAAATGTAGTGTGGAGGGGACGATGCACCATTAAAACTGCAGCAGAAGATTCCTGTATGCTGGACTAGCCTTTGTTTGTACTGCACAGAGTTCACTTTGTAGAATTTGAGCTCCAGCCTAAACCAGCACCTTTCAGGTAGTTTTCCAGACAATTTCTGTCTCTGTGCATAAGCCATACTTGTCTGTCATTTGAATAGATTCCATACCAATACAAAGCACAGAGATACTTTTCTAAATGCTAGGTTAGATTTTCATTTACCTTCATGTGGCAGATTTCCACAGGTGAAGACCTAGATACTCAGATTTTTATCTGCCTCGCTTAGCAGCAGTGGTTGGTTGGAAGATATCGCTCTGGGCTATGGCCAGTGGCCAGGAGTCTGTAGCAGGGGCCCGGAGGGTGAGAAGTGTGTTGATGCTATGCAGAACTGGTTGTATAACACAGAGGATCAGCTTTCAAAGAGGCAAACAGTCAGGGCCTGATGTGGTCTGGGAGAGCTGACGTAGGATAGTGTAAATCAGGGTTCCCCAACTGGCGGCCTGCGGGCAGAATTTGGCCTGTGGGTGGTTTTATTTGTCCCCCCCAAGCTTTCTCAGCAAAAAATAATAATAATTCATATGTATTGTTGGACATGTGAAAACACCAGGAAATCAGCTCCAAGTGATTTTAATTTAAGAAATCTGTTCCGAAGTATTCTCACACATAATAGAGGGAAACTTGATTGTATACAAATGTAAGCAAGGTTTGAAACGATTGTTTTAGTCAAACATTACTGTTTGGGCATCTTGCGGTCAATTTGGAGTCTACAGAATATTTGTAATTATGTTCCGGCCCCCCGACCATCCGCTGTAGAAAAAAATCGGCCCGCGGCTGAATCTAGTTGATGATCCCAGGTGTAAATATTTGTCCCCCGCTGACTGAGCTCCTGACCTGCACAGTCAGTCTGTCAGCTTGATAGAGGCACAGACAGACTGATTGACTTCTACCTACTGCCAGCCTGCCTGTCTGTTAGTTTGACTTCAGGCTGAGGGAATGCATGAGTTGGTCTCATCCAGGGTTTCCGTTAGCCAGTAATAGCTGTCTTTTGTCAGATTTTTTAAATAAATAAATAGAATATCCTATGAATAAAATTGGTGCCGGCCAATTATCCGGGAGAAAGAAAACATCCCATTGCGAAATAATGCTTTTTAGCATATTAATTGACGGAAATACCAGTCGATGGAAATACATTTGACTGGTCATGCTTATCGGGAAATAGGTTAATTTGCGTAATTTAGTGGATTTAAATTGGTGCGTGGGTACAGTATATTCGTTATGTATCTTATTTATTACTTACAGCATACAGATACAGAGCCTTGGAGCGTAAAATCTGTCAGGGAGCGCAAGCTGCTGCCACAGCATCTCAACAGAAAATGCATAGGCAATGGAAGGCAGGCTTCATCAGCGCGTCACACCACTTTGCAATGAGCTAGAGGCAGTATGCATTTTGAAAACATATACTTAATTGTTTGGTGCCAGGTTTCCTCCAGACGTGACGATTGGCATTCAGGCCAAAGAGTTCAATCTTGGTTTCATCAGACCAGAGAATCTTGTTTCTCATGGTCTGAGAGTCCTTTAGGTGCCTTTTGGCAAACTCCAAGCGGGCTGTCATGTGCCTTTTATTAAGGAGTGGCTTCTGTTTGGCCACTCTACCATAAAGGCCTGATTGGTGGAGTGCTGCAGAGATGGTTGTCTTTCTGGAAGGTTCTCCCATCTCCACAGAGGAGCTCTGGAGCTCTGTCAGAGTGACAATCGGGTTCTTGGTCACCTCCCTGACCAAGTCCCTTCTCCCCCGATTGCTCAGTTTTGGCTGGGTGGACAGCTCTAGGAAGAGTCTTGGTGGTTCCAAACTTCTTCCATTTAAGAATGATGGAGGCCACTGTGTTCTTGGGGACCTTCAATGCTGCAGACATGTTTTGGTATCCTTCCCCATATCTGTACCTCAATACAATCCTGTCTCTGAGCTCTACGGACAATTCCTTCGACCTCATGGCTTGGTTTGAAGCTGACATGCACTGTCAACTGTGGGACCTTATCTAGACAGGTGTGTGCCTTTCCAAATCATGTCCAATCAATTGAATTTACCACAGGTGGACTCCAATCAAGTTGTAGAAACATCTCAAGGATGATCAATGGAAACAGGATGCACCTGAGCTCAATTTCGAGTCTCATAGCAAAGGGTCTGAATACTTATGTAAATTGTGTGTAGATTGCTGAGGATTTTTAGTTATTTAATCAAGGCTGTAACGTAACAAAATGTGGGAAAAGTCAAGGGGTCTGGATACTTTCCGAAGGCATTTGCTAAAACTTCTAAATCTGTTTTCACTTTGTCATTATTGGGTATTGTGTGTAGATTGAGATAATTTAAATAAATATATTTTTTTAGAATAAGACTGTAACGTAATAAAAAGGGAAGGGCTCTGAATGCACTGTATGTAGTATTTTTTTATTTTTTTTAATGTATGCACTCACTAACTGTAAGTCGCTCTGGATAAGAGCGTCTGCTAAATGACTAAAATGTAAAAATGTAGCCTGTCCCCAGGGCACCAAGCAGGCAGAGGGGAGAGAGTACTTGCACATCACACACAACCTAGCCCCTTCTCCCAGCCAATCACTCCATGGGGGATCACTGTGCTTCCTTTGGTTCGCATTCAATAAGATGGCAGACTGAGCTAGCGTATGTAAATGAGCCTGCTATGGCGAGACAGCTGGACTGAGTGCTTGTTGCAGGCCCTGCAGCCTTCCCCACTGTGTCTGGCCAATGGCTGAGTGAGCAGTGCACAGAGTAGAGCAGGCAGACACAACAACGATGCAAGCCCTGGTGGTGTGTGTGTTTGGTCTGGACCCGGACTCTGACTTGCCTCTTGTTGATTGGCCTGTCTCCCACAGCAGGGTGAGCTCGGACCGGAGGAAGGAGAAGTCCCGGGATGCGGCGCGATGCAGGAGGAGTAAGGAGTCGGAGGTGTTTTATGAGCTGGCCCAGGAGCTGCCCCTGCCCCACAGCGTCACCTCCAACCTGGACAAGGCCTCCATCATGAGACTGGCCATCAGCTACCTGCACATGAGGAATCTGCTGAGCACAGGTCAGTACCCCGGGGGAAGGAGGGGGAGGATATATAGGTTTGTAGTGTCCAAATTGGTCCAAAGTACCATGGAGGTTAAGGGGTAGGGGTAAGAAGGAGAGAGGTGGTGAAGAGGTGAGCAGCCTTTGTTTGCCAGGGCAGCTCTGGGAGATCTATAAACTTGCAGACAGGAGGATATAGATCCCTTTGTGGTCCTGCCCCTGGATGTCGCAGTGCCCTGCCTCACAAGCATGTGTGTTGGCTAGTAATCATATATCCTGCTTTTCTCATGTCCCGGTCGCCACACCCCCTTCCGCTACCTCCCTCTTACCCCCCCTCTGTAGATGATAAGGAGGAGCAGGAGGAGAGTGAGTTGGACTCCCAGCTGAATGGCTCCTATCTGAAGGCTCTGGAGGGCTTCCTCGTGGTGCTGTCTGAGGACGGGGACATGGTCTATCTCTCTGAGAATGTCAACAAGTGCTTGGGTCTAGCACAGGTAGGTTTTCTACTCCATTAGTCAGAAACAACTGACTAAGACTGATAAAGAATGCAGATCTTTTTGGTGTTCTTCCCTTGGCTTGAATATGTTGTATGTTTCTGAACGTCCTTCCTCTCTGTCCATGTGCAGATTGACCTGACAGGACTTAGTGTGTTTGAGTACACACACCCCTGTGACCACGAGGAGCTGAGGGAGATGCTGGTACACAGAACAGGTGAGACGCACCCCTATGAAAACACACAAACTAAAGGTTTCTACTGAAAATAGACTCTGCTACACACAGCGCTCTGGAATATCAGTGTAACAAGTAGTGTGGGGCTGAAGTTAGCAGCTCGGAGCAAAACAAAGTCAGAACCAGTTATCAATTCCCACTCCATCCCTGAGGTCAGAGTGATTAGTTGGCTGCATTCTTCCCATGGCATTCACTCTGCTTCACTGGTACACTGCTACATTCCTTTTTGCACATCATACCAACACTAAATGTAATTTTCTATTTCTTAACCTCAGTCTCACCTTCTCTCTTTTCTCCTCTGCCTGTTCAGGGACCTCTAAAAAGTCCAAGGAACCAAACACAGAACGTAGCTTCTTCTTGCGGATGAAATGTACCCTCACCAGCAGGGGGCGCACTGTCAATGTCAAATCAGCCACCTGGAAGGTTCTTCACTGCTCAGGCCATGTGCGGCTCCATGAAGCCCCAGCTGAGCAGAGCCCCGGTGGGCACAAGGAGCCATCCGTCCCCTACCTGGTGCTGGTCTGTGAGCCCATCCCCCACCCCTCCAACATCGAAGCACCGCTGGACACAAAGACCTTCCTCAGCCGCCACACACTGGACATGAAGTTCACCTTCTGTGACGAGAGGTGTGACTGAGACCTACCACTCCACTGCCTGCAGCACCAGCATAGATAATGTAGTAGAAGTATACTGAATCTAGCACAAATCTTTTCTCCATATCAGGGATATTGCTATAAGAATATATGTTGCGTTATATTTTTTCCCAGAAAAGTAAAACGACTTGTTATTGACACAAAAATATGTGATAAAAGAATAGGTAGCTCCTGAATGTAGTGCCACAGAGCCACCTGGTGTCCAATAGGTTGAATGGCACTCCAGTAAAAAGTAGGATTAACCTGTCCCATATCTGTGTTGTCCAGGATCACTGAGCTGATGGGCTATGATCCAGAGGACCTGTTAAATCGCTCTGTGTATGAGTACTACCATGCCCTGGACTCAGACCACCTCATGAAGACCCATCACAACTGTAAGTATCCCTACCAAAACATGACAATGCAAAGATATTCCCCCTTAAAGCAGACACATAATCTGGAAATGTCCAATGTTGGCAATAGGCTTTAGTACATAATACAATGTTTAAGTACTAGGTAGCTACTAGCAGTCTCTTTTTTTCTCATCCTTTTTTCTCACCCTCTTCTTCTTTCTTCGTCTCCAGTGTTTGCGAAGGGCCAGGTGAGCACAGGCCAGTACCGCATGCTGGCTAAGAGAGGAGGCTTTGTGTGGGTGGAGACTCAGGCCACTGTTATCTACAACAGCAAGAACTCCCAGCCCCAGTGTGTTGTGTGTGTCAACTATGTGCTCAGGTATAGTCATGGACCACACAGTGTTTTTTTAAAGAGGCTAGTTTGATCAGGGGGTTTAAACTGTCTGGGGGACTGACTCACTGGGTTTTGACTAAACCAATCAATCTGATTTTCACTTTGTAAGCGGGAGTAATACATTAATATGTAACTGTTTTTGTCTCCCTCCTGCTACAGTGGCATTGAGGAGGAGAAGATGGTGCTGTCTCTGGAGCAGACGGAGGACATGAGTCCTGTGAAGGAGGAGGAGGAGAGCTCTGAGGCAGAGGTGTCCCCTGTGCTCCTGATGGAGGAGAAGAGCCCAGAGCTGGATGTGATCAAGCTGTTCACCCAGGCGATGGAGGCCCAGCCCCTGGCCAGTCTGTATGACAGACTGAAGGAGGAACCAGAGGCCCTCACCCTTCTGGCCCCGGCCGCTGGAGACACCATCATCTCCCTGGACTTCAGCTGCCCCGGTCAGTACCCTGCCCTGCCTGAAGCGTTGTGTGATGGTTACTTTTGAATGGAAAATGAACAGGATAATTAGTGCTAGAACTCACACTTTACTGGTCCCAACCCAAACTCTTTCTGACCCCCTCTTTCCTGTCCCTGCAGACTCTGACATCCTGCTGAAGGAGGTGCCTATCTACAAGGATGTGATGCTGCCCTCCACCAGTGACAAGCTGGCCCTGCCTCTCTCTCTGCTGCCCCCCAGTGATCAGCCCCTGGTCCCCAGCACCTCAGTGGACACCAAGGCTGGTCCAGACTCCTCCAGCACCCCAGGCAGCCACAGCTTCACTGAGGTGAGCAGAGATATCACGTCCAGACAGACACCTTTTAAAACTGCCTATCAGGAAATCAATGGAAAGTTTATGTCAAAAATACTTCTGTCCTCAAATACTAGTCTTTAACCAATGTAATGTTCTCTGCAGCCTGACAGCCCACTGGACTTTTGTTTCCCAATGGAGTCTGACATCAGTGCTGCGTTTAAACTGGACATGGTGGAAAGACTGTTTGCCATCGACACAGGGCCCAAGACTCCTTTCACCTCACAGGTACGGTTCCTATCTATGGTAAGACATTCTAAACTCAGGATTAGGAAGGTGTTCTTAATGTTTTGTACACTCAGTGTATGACGTGAATGTGAGTTTTAATTATTTGGTTAATCTTATGCATATGGTCACTTACGGACCATAATGGATATGGACCCACCCCCATCATCTCAGTACAATAGTAAACCTGAATGAAACACGAGAATCAAACCACTCTCACTTGAGTATCTTTCCTAGTTATTTTCAGATCTAATTTAGCTATTTTGTAGCTTTGTCAACTGTGTGTTTTCTATACCTGTTTGCTCCTCTGCCTGTAGGCTTTACAGACACTCCCCACCCTTTTTCTGCAACCCTTCTAATTTAGTGTACCATGCGCGCACAACATGTGGAATTCCTGGTCTCTGGCAGCGTTTGGAACTGCTGATCTGCGGTCAAGAACACAGTTCATCTCAGCTTATGCTGCCCTTCGGTCCCTTGACTTTTTAGCCCTGACAGAGACATGGATCACCCCAGAGAACACTACTACTCCAGCTGCTCTCTCTTCATCTGATTACGTTTTCTCTCCTAGTCCAAGAGCATCTGGTCGTCGTGGTGGTGGCACAGGGCTACTCATTTCTCCACTCACCTGTCCATCTCCTCATTTGAAATCCATGCTGTCACTTGTCCACTCAAGCTTGATAAACTAATTTCCTGACGATGGCTCACCGCTCTTCGTATTTGCCGACTTCAACCTCCCGACGTCAGCCTTTGATTAATTTATTTCAAACTGTTTCTTTCCCCTCCTTGCCTCCTTGCCTCTTTTGACCTCACCCTTTCCCAGTCCCCTCCCACTCACAAGGCAGGTGACATCATCTTTACTAGAGGCTATTCACCTACTAATCTCACTGCAACCCCCCTCCAGGTCTCTGATCACTACTTTGTTTCCTTTTCTGGCTCCCTCTCCTCCAACCCTAGCCAGTCAGCCCCTACCCAGATGTTCATGCGCAGTTGCAATATTCAGTGTCTTTCCCATTACTCTCCTCTTCTATCCTCTCACCCTTCTGCTAAATCATTCTCCCTCCTGATTCTGCCTCTTCGACCCTACTCTTCTCCCTTTCCGCAGCCTATGACTCGACTCGCACTGTCCCCTTTCCTCCCGGCCGGCTCGGCCCACCCATCCTGCTCCGTGGCTGAGTGACTCCTTGCGAACTTACAGAACAGGGCTGTGGGCAGTTGAGCGAAAATGGAGGAAAACTAAACTTCTGGAGGACCTATCATCCTTTCACTCCCTCCCCTCTACCTTCTCTTGCTCTGTATCTGCTGCTAAAGCCACTTTCTATGACTGTAAATTTCAAGCTTATGCCTTTAACCCTAGGAAACTCTTTTCCACCTTCTCCTCCCTCTCTGCAGACGACTTTGTCAACCACTTTGAAAAGAAGGTTGACAACATCCGCTCTTCATTCACTCAGCCTATTGAGTCCCCTGGTCCTACTCACACACAACTACCCTACGCCTTGACCCCTTTCTCCACTCTCTCTCCAGATGAAATCCTGCGACTAGTGAGGTCTAGCCGCCCAACCACCTGCCCGCTCAATCCCATCCCCTCCTCCCTTCTCCAGACCATCTCTGGAGACCTCCTATTCCTCATTTCCCTAATCAACTCATCCCTGACCTTCAAAATGGCCAGAGTCGCTCCCCTCCTCAAGAAACCAACACTAAATCCTTCTGACGTCAAAAACTACAGACCTGCATCCCTTTTTTTATTTATTTCCAAAACACTTGAGCGTTCCGGCTCTGACCAACTCTCTCGCTGTCTTTCTCAGAATGATCTTCTTGACCCTAACCAGTCAGGCTTGAAGACGGGTCACTCAACCGAGACTGTTCTTCTGTGTCAAGGAGGCTCTCCTCACTGCCAAGCTGACTCTCTCCTCTGTTGTCATCCTCCTAGATCTATCCGCTGCCTTCGACACGTGAACCATCAGATCCTCCTCTCCCCCCTCTCAGGGCTGGGCGTCTCAGGCTCTGCACACTCTTGGATTGCATCCTACCTGGCAGGCGGCTCCTACCAGGTGACGTGGAGAGGATCTGTGTCTGCACCACGTACTCTCACTACTGGTGTCCCCCAGGGCTCGGTTCTAGGCCCTCTTCTCTCTATACACCAAGTCACTTAGCTCTGTCATATCCTCACATATGGTCTCATATCATTGCTATTCGGATGACATTCAACTATTTTTCTCCTTCCCACCCCTTCTGACACCCAGGTGTTGACACACATCTCTGCGTGCCTGGCAGATATCTCAGCTTGGATGTGGGCCCACCACCTCAAGCTCAACCACGACAAGACGGAGCTGCTCTTCCTCCCGGGGAAGGCCAAGACCTCTCCATCACGTTTGAAAACTCCACAGTGTCCCCCTTCGAGAGTGCAAAGAACGTTGGCGTGACCCTGGACAACACCCTGTCGTTTTCATCAAACGTCAAAGCAGTGACTCACTCCTGCAGGTTCATGCTCTACAACATCCGTGGAGTACGACCCTACCTCACACAGGAAGCGGCGCAGGTCCAAATCCAGGTACTTGTCATCTCCAGTGTGGACTCTTACAACTCGCTGTTGGCTGGGCTCCCCGCTTGTATCATCAAACCCCTGCAACTTATCCAGAATGCTGCAGCCCGCCTGGTGTTCAACCTTCCCAGGTTCTCCCATGCGCCTCTGCTCCTGCAGTTGAAGCTCACATCCACTACAAGACCATGGTACTTGCCTGCGGAGCAGGAAGAGGAACTGCCCCTCCATACCTTCAGGCTATGCTGAAACCTTAAACCAGGGTTCCCCAACTGGAGGCCCGTGGGCAGATGATCCCCCCCCGGATAAAAGCTTCTGCTAAATGACTACAATGTCAATGTAAATCAGCTGGTATGAGGAAGAGCTATAACTGATTCAGGGAAAAGCTTATCTAATATGTGCTTGTTTCCCCCTCTAGGCCATGGAGGACCTGGACCTGGAGATGTTGGCTCCATACATCCCCATGGATGATGACTTCCAGCTGCGCACCCTGTCCCCAGAGGAGCCCCTGTCTTGTGGCCCAGCCCAACCCCTAGAGAGCTCTTCTCTATGCTCTTCTGTTCACCTCACCCAGGAGGTCCACAGCTACCCTGGCTCCCCCTTCATTGCCCCAGGCAGCCGGACAGCTTCCCCAGCCCTGGCAGCCCCGGAGCCAGCAGATAGCCCTCGCCCTGCTTCCTTACTTACCAAGACGTAAGCCCCCAACACACACAAACAGACACACTCCCTCAAACTGAGCCTCTCCTCAAAACCAAAACACTGTGCTGACATGGTGTGCGACTGACTTTCTGTGCTTCAGGGTGCCTCAAATGGACAGGGAAATCTCCCTTAGGACACTGGCCTCCCAGAATCCACAGCGCAAGAGGAAGATGTCTCTGTCTCAGGCTGTCGGAATAGTAAGTGTATAGGATCAAAGTTTTAAACGTTTTTATATCAATTCATTATGTGTAAAATGTTTACATTTTAGCTGAGATATTTTGTGTTCAAAAAACATTTTGGCTCATGAGTGCTAATTTGAATCTGTGTTTTTCCCAGGGGGGATTGCTCCAGGACCGTCCTGAGCCAGGTAAAAAGCTCAAGGTGTCTGAGCTGGGCCACGCTGATGCTGCCTCCAACAGGACTATACTGCTCCTGCCTACAGGTAGTTTGTCCTGGAACATAAAACTGCCAAGGCCGGTATTACGCTTCTGCGTGTTTTACATGAAACAATGACACTAATGACCGGTATATTCTCTTGCTTCTCTTAGACCTGGCAAGCCGTCTGCTTGGCATCTCCTCAGAGGGCAGCGGCTCGCCCTTCACCCTTCCACAGCTGACCAGGTATGACTGTGAGGTCAACGCCCCCGTGGTGGGTCGCCAGCTCCTGCTGCAGGGCGAGGAGCTGCTGCGTGCCTTGGACCAAGTCAACTGAGTCAACGCTTAGCCTGCCCCCTGCTGGACCAGACCAGACACTACAACCTCCTCACGCTCTCTGTCCCCACTCGCTGCCCCTTTATTTGTCTCTCTCTGTATCAGTGATCTTATATCAGTGATCTTATAGTTTGGCTGCTGTCTGCATCCACCAAGTGATATCTGCAGCATTAGAGTTGGTGTAGGGGATGTTGTAGTGTTTGCAGGTAGAGGCACCTAATTGTTTCTTTCTCTGGAGTCTCTCAGACAGCACACATATGGCGCCTCCATGGACGGCTCTGTTGTATCAAGTCTCCATGGAAACCCGGCGGCGCTACTGCCAGCAGTGTATTGTAAGCTTCAGTCGCACAATTTATATTTTCTTAAAAATAAGAGATTACCAGCAATATATGTTAAGCCTTTTAAAAAGTAGTTTTAATGGAATTTCAACCATTTTTATTTTTATTTTCCTATGCATTCGTATGTCGTATATAACAATAGTATTTGGTCCAGAAGGTATTTTTGAATGTTATATCCCCATTACTGGTTACCAGTATTTTAGGCTAATGCATTAAATATGTAGTCATTCAGTACTTGTCACTTTATTCCTTTACTACTGTAAGTGTATGTTTGTTACTGTGCATAGACCAGGGGAACATTCAGAAATGGCTTTAAAGCCTTGTCATGAATAATAAATACATGTGAGCGGTATAATTTGCTCTAAATCCAATGTTAGTTTTTAATCATGGAGGATTGGTCCCTCAGTTTGATCATGTAATCAATTCATTTTTAGTCGACCATCTCAAATGGTTTATTTAGATTGAAGTAACATGTACTTCTTTAGTCTTTAGCACCATCATATGATCATATTTTACCAGTATAATTATCTCATCATTAGTAGCAAGTGTTACTCTTTCATACCTTTTTTGTCTGTTTTATGGCATTGGTCCACACTGCAGTTTTGGGTCTCTTTCATGCTTCCTGTTGCTGTCTAACATAAAATTGCTCCCAAAAAATAATTGCATTGGTTGTTTATTTCTTAAATATTTAAACTCTGTAATGTGATCATGGAATATTGTGATATCAATTGAATAACACAAGCATTGTTTCTTGTATTTTACAAGCAATAATAAATAAAATAAAAATACTATAGTCCTAACAACTCTTGATAGTTGATTGCATTTGTCGTATTTCACACGTACACGTGTGAATTATAAATTATATAATATCCACTCCCCCAGAAACAGTGGGGTCAGAGCCAGGGATCAGCCATTATTGACAGCAACTCTGGAGCAATTAGGGTAAGGGCCTTGCTCAAAGGCACATTAACAGATTTGTCACCTAGTCTGCTCAGGGATTTGAACCAGCAACCTTCCAGTTTCTGGCCCAACACTCCTAACCGCTAGGCTACCTGCCGCCCTGATACATGCTTGAAATATTCATGAATACTGAAGAAAAATATAAACGCAACATGTAAAGTGTTGGTCCCATGTTTCATGAGCTGAAATAAAAGATCCCAGGTCTGACAGCTGGGGACAATAAAATGCCACTCTAAAATGTGCAGTTTTGCCACAACACAATGCCACAGATGTCTCAAGTTTTGAGGGAGTGTGCAATTGGCATGCTGACTGCAGGAATGTCCACCAGAGCTGTTGTCAGAGAATTGAATGTTCATTTTTCTACCATAAGCCACCTCCAATGTTGTTTTAGAGGATTTGGCAGTATGTCAACTAGCCTCACACTGCCATCACCTCATGTTTCAGCATAATAATGCACGGCCCCGTGTTGCAAGGATCTGTACACTATTCCTGGAAGTAAAACATTTCCCAGTTCTTCCATGGCCTGCATACTCACCAGACATGTCACCCATTGAGTATGTTTGAGATGCTCTATATCGACGTGTACGACAGCGTGTTCCAGTTTCCGCCAATATCCAGCAAGTTCGCACAGCCATTGAAGAGGAGTGGGACAACATTCCACAGGCCACAATCAACAGCCTGATCAACTCTATGCGAAGGATGTTGCGTTGCATGAGGAAAATGGTGGCCACACCAAATACTGATTGGTTTCTTATCCACACACCTACCTTTTTTTTTTAAAGGTATCTGTGATACAGATCTGTATTCCCAGTCATGTGTAATCCATTGATTAGGGCCTAATGAATTTATTTCAATTGACTGATTTCCTTATATGAACTGTAACTCAGTAAAATCTTTTAAATTGTTGCATGTTGCGTTTATATTTTTGTTCAGTGTATTATAGTTATGTTTAATTGATTGGGACAGACACATACTTGTATTGAATAAACTACACTATATATTCAAAAGTCATGCAATCTCCATAGACAAACATTGGCAATAGAATGGCCTTACTGAAGAGCTCAGTGACTTTCAACGTGGCACAGTCATAGGATGCCACCTTTACAACAAGTCAGTTCGACAAATTTCTGCCCTGTTTGAGCTGCCCTGGTCAATTGTAAGTGCTGTTTTTGTGAAGTGGAAACTTCTAGGAGCAACAACGGCTGCGAAGTGGTAGGCCACACAAGCTCACAGAACGGGACCACCGAGTGCTGAAGCGCGTAAAAATCGTCTGTCCTTGGTTGCAACACTCACTACCGAGTTCCAAACTGCCTCTGAAAGCAACGTCAGCACAAGAACTGTTCATCAGGTGCTTCATGAAATGGGTTTCAATGGCTGAGCAACCGCACACAACCTAAGATCACCATTCGCAATGCCAAGCCGACTGGAGTGGTGTAAAGCTCGCTGCCATTGGACTCTGGAGTTATGAGTGATGAATCACGCTTCACCATCTGGCAGTCTGACAGACTAATCTGGGTTTGGCAGATGCCAGGAGAACACTACCTGCCCGAATGCATAGTGCCAACTGTAAAGTTGGAGAAATAATGGTCTGGGGCTGTTTTCATGGTTCGGGCTAGGCCCCTTTTTTTTTCTTTTTTTTTAATGCCACTTAGCAGACGCTTTTATCCAAAGCGACTTACAGTCATGCGTGCATACATTTTTTGTGTATGGGTGGTCCCGGGATCGAACCCACTACCTTGGCGTTACAAGCGCCGTGCTCTACCCGCTGAGCTACGGAGGACCACAGTGAACGGAAATCTTAACGCTACAGCATACGATGACATTCTAGACGATTCTGTGCTTGCAACTTTGCGGGAACAGTTTGGGGAAGGCCCTTTATTGTTTCAGAATGACAATGCCACCGTGCACAAAGCGAGGTCCATACAGAAATGGTTTGTCGAGATTGGTGTGGAAGAACTTGACTGGCCTCCACAGAGCCCTGACCTCAACCCCATCAAACACATTTGGGATTAATTGGAACGCCAACTGCGAGCCAGGCCTAATCGCCCAACATCAGTGCCTGACATCACTAATGCTCTTGTGGCTAAATGGAGGCAAGTCCCTGCAGCAATGTTCCAACATCTAGTGGAAAGCCTTCCCAGAAGAGTGGAGGCTGTTATAGCAGCAAAGGGGGACCAACTCCATATTAATGCCCATGATTTTGGAATGAGATGTTTGACCAGCAGGTGTCCACATACTTTTGGTCATGTAGTATATATTCTAATGCGTTGTGCTCATATAGCTTAGTGGTTGCGCTCAAACAATTTTGTCCTGACCCCCATCCTGTAGCAAAACACATAACGTCATCAGCAGTCGACAATCGTACTTGCAAGCGTTGTATTGCGACAGAGAGGAAGATGCGGATGTGTTCGTTGATGATGCTAGCTAGCTAGCTAGCTATTTGCAATATATTGGGACAATTTTCCATCTTTTATTTTACCAAGCAGCAAACACATTGCGGAAAAGTTGTTGTGGATAAGGTGTAGATAATGGATTACTGCAAAGACCGTCTTAAAGCAGACTGTGAGCTGTTGCTGAGTAGATTTCAGCAGACAGAATCGGTGAGATACGAGCTATTCTTGACGATATGGAAAGAGACGAAGTTCCAAAGTATTTTCTAGTAAGATTCTCTTTTTTTTTGTTATAGAAAAATCTGCTGCTCTGTCACCTGCAAAATATAAGTTATCGTCTGTCTCAACTTCCCAGTGAATTGCATAAGCATCACGTTTTCCAATCCTGAGTGTTGCAATGGGTGTAACGTTATCATTAATATGGTTTCAGATTTGAGTCTGTCTGTCTTTTACAGTGGAAAAATGGAAAACAATCTAAAGAGGCTGTTCAGCCGTGAAATCCTGGCTACAGCGTACACATACTTTCTGCCCCCATACACCTTTCAGATTAGAGTTGGGGCCTTGTACCTGTTCTATGGGCTATACCACTGCCAACTGTCCACACCAAGAGAAAAGGTGAGATACTCTGATTTCACTGAAATACAGATTTTGCCACCCACCATATAGCAGAACTACCATTGAATGTCCGAGATACAATACAATTTCTAAAGTCAATCTTGGACAACAGATTCATATACAAACACATTAAATTATTGTCTTTATACACTTGCATTTGTGTTTATTCATTATTCACATATAATGCATGTTTTTCAACATGAGCTGTTATTTTTCTATTGTCTACAGATAAGGCTAGCCCTGAAGGACTGGGAGGAAATGATGAAGTTCCAGCAGGATGCAGTTAGTGCACAGCACTTTGATGTGGTCTACATCATCAGACAGCTCATCTCACAAAAAGCCTTCTACTTCACTGCCATGCCCACGCTGGTAAGATCTCCAGTCTTCTTTAGCTTGCTGTCCACATCAACAAATGGATAGACACTGTAGAGTTAATACAGAATCGTCCCTATTTGAATGATTGCACATTAGTAAAGGGTTAGGTGTGTTAAAAATACTAACAAATGCTTGAACAAGGCTGTGAGGATACATTCATTGTTGATTTATTTGAATCCATCTACATGATATCTTTCTCCTTGAGCAGCTGATTTTCAATGTGAAGAAGAGCAACAAGAACTCAAGAACGGTGTGTGAAGATTTCGTTGAGCGAGCGGCCCGGCCACAGGAGCTGGTCAGCATGGACATGTTGGAGGTGAGCTAGCAGAATGACCATGTATTCCCACACACCACGCAAGCAGCAGGTTGGAATAGTAGACAACAGCCTGAAGGATACATTTGTCTTTATTTTCTCCGAGATTATAAACCAGGGTACGTGTGGTTTAAGAGGCACTACTAGTGTCACTGCAGTAATAGGGCCTATGTGTGCATAACATGTTCCAGTGTGGATTACAGTCTTTGATGTTGTGGTGTATGTGTGTATTCTATGGATGAACACAGGAGCTGGCAAACGTACATGAGCACTATGAGCAGGTGAAGGCATCCATTTCAGCCAAGCCAGGCCAGCCAGACTCATCCATCAATCTGATCCACAAGAACTTGGTGTCACGGCTACACAACACTGTCGTGGGATTCTACAACTGGCAGAAGGCTCAGGTTAGAGATCTGCTCATCAAATTGTATTTGTCACGTACACGTGTTTAGCGTATGTTATTGCGGGTGTAGCGAAATGCTTGTGCTTCTAGCTCCGACAGTGCAGTAAATCTAAGAAGTAATATCTAACAATTTCACAACATATACCCAATACATACATCTAGTAAGGAATGGAATTTAAGAATATATACATATATGGACAAGCAATGACAGAGCTGCATGGACTAAGATACAGTAGAATATTATAGAATAGAATGCAGTATATACATATGAGATGAGTAGTGCAAGATATGTAAACATTATTAAAGTGACTAGTGTTCCATTTCTTAAAGTGGCCAGTGATTTCAATAGGCAGCAGCAGCCTCTAATGTGCTAGTGATGGCTATTTAACAGTCTGATGGCCTTGAGTTAGAAGCTGTTTTTTATTCTCTCGGTCCCAGCTTTGATGCACCAGTACTGACCTGGCCTTCTGGATGATAGCGGGGTGAACAGGCAGTGGTTGATGTCCTTGATGATCTTTTTCCACCTTCATCATAGTTGTCTTGTTTGTGTGTGTGTGCGCTTGCATGAGTGTGTTTGTGTGAGAGAGAGAAAGGGTGTGATACACCTACCGTTATCCTGTCATGCTAAGATTGTGTGCTTTATGTTAAATTATGTTTAGGGTTCGGAAGATAGAGCCGAGGGAGAAGATGGAGATAGTGGCGAGGGAACTTCAAATAAGCAAGAGGTGAGTTTTAATATACCAAAATAAACTAACCAACTATCAGCAGGTTTTGTTGTTCTAAATTCACCCCTATGTTTAATTTTAAGACTGATTATTATTTGTGTGCCGTGTTCACAGATATTCTCCACTGCCCTCAATACACGTCTTGCAGTAATGACTTTGGCCAGAGGGTGGCACTGTGGTCAACATGTTTTATCTCTTTTATTCTCTTCCCAGTGTTCCAAGCGAGCTCAGCGTCTTGCATCCCTCAAGTCTAAATCATATGGTCAGCTAGTGGAGGTTTGTAAAGTGTTTCCTATGTACAAACTTACACATACCATTTTTGGTCCCGCTTTATTTGAAGCGCATCTTATGAAAGCGTCATAAAGCCTTCATATAGGCTTCATAAGCACTACATAAATGCTTCACAAATCATCTATAACCGTATATCATGCTCTATAAAGATTAATAATGTGGGATAACCATCCATTTATTTGTTCACATTTATTAATCCTTTATAGAGCATGAAATACGGTGATAGATTATTTGTGACCCATTTATGAAGTGCTTCATAAGATGCACTTCAAATAAAGCGGGACCCAGTTTTTGTCTCATCTCAAGTTAATTGATTCAAGTTAATTATAATCTCTGTAATGACTGGGATGGTTTGCTCGTGTAGAGAATGTTGTTCATATAATGGAGCATTACTTTTCTCCCCATAGGCCTCCAAGGCCCGGCGACACCGGCAGGTTGAGAGGGATGAGGCGGGGCCGGCTAAGGAGACCTCGCACCATAAGAGACTCAAGTCACTCAAACAAAGGACCAGTCATCTGACCCAAGGCAAGTCCCTATGTACCCATCTGCCAGTAGGCCTGTTCCTAACATCACCTTAAAATGGTCCTGATCAACTAAGAGTCTGTGTGTCCAACTAAGAGTCTGTGTGTCCAACTAAGAGTCTGTGTGTCCAACTAAGAGTCTGTGTGTCCAACTAAGAGTCTGTGTGTCCAACTAAGAGTCTGTGTGTCCAACTAACAGTCTGTGTGTCCAACTAACAGTCTGTGTGTCCAACTAACAGTCTGTGTGTCCAACTAACAGTCTGTGTGTCCAACTAACAGTCTGTGTGTCCAACTAAGAGTCTGTGTGTCCAACTAAGAGTCTGTGTGTCCAACTAAGAGTCTGTGTGTCCAACTAACAGTCTGTGTGTCCAACTAACAGTCTGTGTGTCCAACTAACAGTCTGTGTGTCCAACTAACAATCTTTGTGTCCAACAGGCGCTGCAAGGGAGGAGGCTCTGAAGACCACCAGGCTGTGGTGCATGAGTCAACTTGAAGCTCAAGGTATGTAAGGGCTGTGGCACAGGGGGTGAATGGATGTGGAAAGGTCACCACACACTCGAGTATCTGCTCAGACAGTTTTGATTCAGATAGTGGTAGTTCTAGAGATGGATGTGATTGTATTTGCAATTATTATAGAATGTATTTGATATGAATGATTAGGGCAGGGAATTGCCACTGACCTCACTATACAATATTATCATGATACTTAGGTGCCGATACGATATGTATTGCGATTCGATACTGGGATTTTTATTGCGATTCGATGTTCCAAACATATTGCTCACCTGTCTGCTGCAGAGGGACAAGAGAGACCGATGAGAAAACACGTTTTGATCAGTCATGGAAATAAAAGTGCTGAAAACAAATTGGCTCCCTATTTAAAAAGAAGATGGAGAACAAGCTATGAACCAAAAATACTGGAGTTTTGGTGCAGGTACAGCCAACTAGCGCAAAAATAATATTGTGATATTGTCAAAACGATACGATATATTGTCAAAAATAATATCCCGATATGTAACTGTATCTATTTTTTCCCCCCCTTCACTATGAATGATTGGAAAAGAAGTCTAATGTTCTGAATTTTCCTCTCTGCTTGTCCCATTTAGAAACAACTAAAAAGAAAAAGAAAAGGAAATTCAAATGGTGATGTCACAGAAGAGGAAAAAGGTACCAAAGAATTGGTTTGGTTTAGAGAGTCAGTCAGCCATGAATCCCTGTGTACAACCACAATCCATAATCTTTTGTACAACTGATTTTAGCCAGCATTCATCTGGTTTCACCATAGGTGTTTTTAATCACTCAAAATGCAATGCTTTTAATGTCAGGCACATAAGGAAGTTAGCCTCTAGGTGTTACCCTTCATTTATGAAGGCTTCGAAGACATGCAAAGATTTTTTGTTCATGTCGCAGTAAAACATTTAAGAATTGTATTGTGCTGGTATCAATCAATGATATGGATAATTTGTTTCCATCACTGACAGTTTCATTCACTACTTGATGCTTGAAAATATTGAGAAAAAAGTTACATTACATTGAAAACCCAGTTCCCTTTCAAATGCCTATGATGTTTTTGATACTGTTGTTGGAATATAAAATGTTTTTCCTTTTATTAAAAGAGTTATGAGTTCAGAGAACATAATGTTGTCACAGATATGTAAGTCTCCTTATCAAATCAAATGTTATTGCTCACATGCGCTGAATACAACAGGTGTAGACTTTACAGTGAAATGCTTACTTACAAGCCCATTCCCAACAGTGCAGAGTTAAAAAGCAAGACAAATATTTGGGGGGAAAATAAGGAAATAGTAACACAATAAAAACAATAACGAGGCTATATACAAGGAATATGAGTTCTGAGGTCTCTGTTTATATGACCTCACTTTTTTTCTTCTAAAAATTCATTTTTACAGAATCTTAGTGGTTTCTACTTTTTATGCTGTCCTGGTTCCTGCATTCTTTATTATCTTCCCCACCATCTTACTTTGTGTGTGGGTGTGTGGGTACGTTTGTGCATCCTTGATTGAATGGGCAGCCAGGCAATTTAGCTGGATGGCACTAGCAGTATGACCTCTGAGGTCAATATGGACTGCTCTCCTCTCTGATCATGTTAGTGTGTTTGCACATGCATGATTGACTTCTATACATGGGTGAAGCTGTCAAGTGGATGACTGTGCATGTAATGTGTATTTAATACTATATTATGTCATAATGAGAATGCCAACTACTAATCTAATCCCCATATCAGATTTACACTCAGAAGTAGTTTTTATCAATCTCAGCATTACATGCTGAAGCATGTCACCACCACAATGCCTGACCTGGATAGCCAATGTGCTACCAACCTCAAGGCAGCCTACGGCACACTCACTACATGCTTATTTTTTCAATCCCAATATATATTTTAGATTAATTGGAAATAACGTTTTAGACTGCAATTATGCAAATATTTCCATCAAATGGAGTTAACTGGGTTGTAGGCTACTGTAACCTACTAGTCTTGCAGTAAATTGCTAACTATGAAGATGGTGAACTAGTCTGGCATTGGAGGTGCAGATGCGGGAGAAGAGGACAGGCGGGACACACAATGAGTATCAGCCAATGACTGTGGGTTTAGTGCACTTAAATAAAGCATTCGATCATTACTATAGTCACTCCCAGTCGCGGTAAGTAGTAGCCTATCGTTTTTCAATTATGTTGGATTGTTTCGAGTCATTTATTTGTCCTATAATCTGTCTAGGTCACTCTCACTGGGACAACATATATTTAACAAGACCGACCTGGTCCAAGTACATCTGTGTCACTAAAGTGTTTATTTAATTTGGCAGAAAATATTTTGTGTTCGGTTGGTCAAAGCCAGGTAGGTGCACATAAGGTCACTCGTGAGAAGATGAGAGAGAGAGAGACGGGAGGGAGAGGTGTGGGGGCGAGCGCGTCATTGTTTTGAAGATAGGAGGGACCGTGTTTTGGCGAAACGTCAGGGTGGTAGGAAGAGTCCAAACCGTGAATGCGGCTAGAGAGCTGGGCAACTGCGGAAGGAGGCGAGGAAACCGCCCAACCGTAGCCAGTATCCCCCTACCCGCCGCTATCTGTGCGGCAATCTATGGACAGTGTAAGCCTACGGGGATGCCACTGCAACGTTAATCCTATTCACAGCTAAATCGGACCTAAAACAGACTCAACCATGGCCACAGATAGTAAGTATCCCAATAGAGAAAATGAACAAATGTATTTTTTTTATATAGCAGAGTAGAGGCAAGAGATAGGCTAGTACAATTATTTAATTCCATGATCGGCTGTTGCAGATGCTATGCAGTTGAGATTGAAGCTATCTCTTGTCTACGTGCGACTGGCTACAACGTTTCCATTTTACACTAGTTGATACAATATATCATTGTGTTGGCTGAGTCCGGCTGACATAATAGGCTATAATTCCGCTATTTCAGCTACGACTTGGAAAACGCAGGATGTGCTCTGCAATTGTATATTGGTATATGTTGAGAATTCCCCTTTGCCATATTTGCTGTGACGACCTGCCATCGTCATTATTATTGACTTTTCTGAAGGCTGTTTGTGTTAAATTAGGACACAAATGATTAAAACCCGATTCAGCGTTGAAATAAAGGATAGACCTGCGCCCAGATCAATACTTGCATTTCATGTAGGCTAGCCATTAATGCATGTAGTCCTAATGAAAACACTATGGCACACAAAAGTTCCACATGTTTGATATAGCCTTGCATCTCCTATGGAATGGTTCTTGTAGGTCAACATTTGGCAAGGGACAACATTAGTTTATGCAAATCAGGCCATTAATAGGCTACCACGTGAGGTTGAATAATAGCTGACAGGAGTCTGTATGGACTTCAATAAATGGTAGAATCCCCTAACTGACCCAACACACACACACACACACACACACTATAAGCACCATATTAAATGTGGAAAGTTATCTATAAACCCTACTGTTGCCATTATACTCTGACAGGAGATTAGCTTATAGAAATTGACTCTTATGCAAACCAATCAAATTTTGTTTAGCTTCAAAAGAGAACATTTCCATCACATAAAAGTGAATGATGAGTGGACTTTATGAAACAACTACCCTCTTTATTATTATGTCACATTATTTCAATAGCCTGTTGTACCAAAGCTGAATGGCCCTGCATTGTAGTATTAAAGTAACAGAGAACCTGTTGGAGTAACTCACCAGCAGTTGGACTCACCCTCATTTGCCAAACAAAGACATTTAGAAACACATAGTCATTTCCAGTTGCCAGCATGAACATTCGTGAGGGGTGTGCCTGCTTTTTCACTCATAGTATATTCATTAAGAATGTCTAATCGTGTTTATATAAACTCATGGAAAGGTGTGGGTGGAGTCGAGACACCCTTTAAGGTAAATATGCGGATTTATTGTGAGACTAGAATGTCTGTACTGTACATGCATCCATACTTTTGTTGATATTAGATCCCCTTTCTGGGTCATATACCTTGAGGTGGCCTCTCTCTCCAGTGGACATACTATCCCTGAACCAACTGGTCTGGAACCATATCTCACCAAACTACAAAACAAAGCCTGGGTAAAACCTAGACATACTGTACTGTAGACTAACTCAGCCTTAGCCAACCTCCTCTCTCAGTTCCCACAATGGAGAGACTGAAAAGATGCTCTCTGATCTCTTATCTCTGTATGTTTCTGAGCTTTGTGTTGTGCAGCAGCTTCTCTGAGCTGGAGAATATGGTTGAGTAAGTACCGAGCACTCTGTTGTGTCTGCTGCTGCTGCTATTGGTGGCCTAGTTACAGGGCCATGTGTAATTCATACATTCCTCTCCTCTCTCCATGTTGGGCAGGCCTGGCCTGGAACTGACAGTGTTGGGGCTGGGTGTGTGTGTGTGTGTGTGGTGTGCGTGTGCGTGAATCAGTTCTGTTATTCATGTACAGTATTTCCTGTTTACTGTAGTCTGTAAACTCTGTTCAGAATATAGTAGATTAAAATGTATAGTTTCATGAAACGTCAGATGTTCACAGACACGACTTGTTTGTTTATTTTGGTAATCATCAAAAAACAATTTTGGCAAACAGTTTTTATTTTAAATGGGGTTTGATCCTTACCCCAGAGGAAAGGCAGTCTAAACTTTTTGATCAATGTCATCACCTCGCTCCATGTTATTGCATCTGAGAGCATTATTCAGGAAGGGTGTTTGGCCTAGCCCAGTAGGACAGGAAGAACATTAGGAAAGATTGAGGGAGCTAGTTCATGTAGAGTCAGACAGAACACAGGGAGGGAGAAGGAGGTAGGTTGAGAACAGAATGAAGGTTACGTATGTAACTACAGATATGTGAGCTATTGGATCACTCCGATATGGTATCCTTCCGTGCGGCAGGATACATTCCGAGTAAGGATTTCAGATTAGTCCAGTGTACAGGGTAGTGCTCCGGCTGACCCCCTTAAATTGCTTCCACCGCGTTACTTCCACCTCGTGTCCTTTTTCGAGGCGCCGTAGATCACAGACAAAGAGTATTGAAGTGATCCAATAGCTCACATAACCGTGGTTACATACGTAACCTTCGTTATGTAGCACTATATTGGATCACTCCAATATGGTATCACAATACCAGATGAATTGGTGAACTAGGTAAGGGCCAGACAGAGAGCAAAGTCCCGTAGGACTGAGCTCAGGGCAGTCATAGTCGCAGTGTTCCTCCTTCCCCACTCAGGGAAGCGGAGGCAACATCCTGCACAGCCGTCCTGACCTCATTGGCGGGGGGCAACATTGACTCGATAGTACCTAGAAAAGGTGCTAGATGATGCCCAACTGGCCGAGACGCACATGTAATTGAGGGGAACTCCTCGGAGCAGGGCCCACGATGTAGCACACTTGGGGAAAAACACCCAGCTCACCCACAGCCGCGGGAGGGGCATATGCAGACAAATGTATGGGCCGGTTCACGTGTCTGTCAGACAGGACCTTCCGCAAGAATGAGGGGTTAAGACGGAGGGTGACACTCCTGTTGTCTGGACCCATTCAGAAAAACATTCAGTGCTCACTGAAAAAGCAAGAAGTTCACTCACCCTCTTAGTGGAGGTAATTGCCAACAGGAATGCCACCTTCATGGATAGGTGCTTACAAGACATCGACTCTGACAGCGCCACGTCAAGGTTCCAGCTTGATACCGAGTGGGCCATTTCTGGACACAGACGTCAAACTCCCTTCAAAAATGTGGAGAGCAATGGGTAGCCACTCATGGGTCCCTCTTGGCCGGCATCATGGCATGCCAATATAGCGGCTAGATACACTCTCAATGTGGATGCCGCATCGAGCAGTGACTGTGAAAACTGTTAAACCGTTTGCACATATGACTCTCACACCAGGTACAGAATATGCCACACCACATTTGATATGATGCATTGGGTGGAAGAAGCCATGGAGTTCCGCAAAGTGTTCACCACACTGTCCTGAAGGCCTAGACGGGTCCACTAACGCCTCTCAGAGGCCAAGCCCTGATGCTGGAAATGGTGCGGGTCCGTATGCCACAGTGTCCCCCGAGCCTGAAAGAGCAGGTCGGGCCTCAGGGGCAGCTGCCATGGAGTCCCTGAGAGGAGGGACAATAGGAGGCTGAACCATGGTGGTCTCGGCCAGCAAGGCGCTATCAAGAGCAGCTGGTGGCCCACCAAGATGACCCTGTCTAGTGTAGGGGAAATGGTGGGAACGCGTAAAGCGTCGTTGCTGGCCAATCATGAGTGAGGGCATCCAGACCCAGAGGGCCTATAGGGTCTGACATCGAGAACCAGCTGGGGCAATGAGTGTTTTCCTGAGATGCAAACAGATCCAACTGTGCTCTCCCGAACCTGTAGCACCACCTGAGGGTGTAGACTCTAGTCCCCCTCTGGCAGGCCGTCTCTCGAGAGCATGTCCGCTGCATTGTACAGGACCCAGGGTATACTGTATGTGCTGCTTGCAGCGATGCCAAGCGGGTCTGGGCCCACGGCAAGTGCTCCCGAGCCATTGGACCAGGAAATGCTGTCCTACCAGGTAGGGCTGGAACTGTTGGAGAGCTAGGCGAACGAACCTGAGCTCCAGCACATCGATGTGTTGACCACTCCATGGGGGCTCCAGCGGCCGCTGGCCGCCATGCCTCTGAACACGGCACCCCAACATGTCAGAGAGGCATCAGCGCACACCAGCTCTGCGGTGGGACTCTGATCAGGCCCACCCCCTTTAACAGGAAGGAGCGGGATAGCCACTTCGATAGGGTCATCAAACATGCACTCATCACCAGCAGTTGACAGTGTTTGTGTTGTTTTGGGTGCCGGCCGTGGGAGTTGAACCATCGCTGGAGTGGCCTGATGGAACCAACAGGGAAGCCACCGGCAGTAGGCCGAGTAACTATTGGCACTCTAACACTGACATGGCTCGTCCGAGCCGGAAACGGTTGAGGTAGGATAGGATTTTGTTACTCTCACCTGGGGGAGATGTGCCCTCATGAGTGTCAAGTCTATGGACATCCCGAGGTAGATCACCTTCTGTGGGACTTAAGGGAAAGTGTGTTTATTACTGTTCTTAGTCCTGCAATGGTCACCTTTTGTTAAGCTAGCTACTTTGCAAAGCTCGTTCACCGTGGAACACAAGAGTCTAGGCAAGATGGCTGTGCCCTGTGAGAGATGAATACATGGTGCGCCTTGCGACACCTAGCTTACTCTCAGGGGAGAACTGCAAGTCCGCTGGAGCGAAACATACACAGTCTCTCGATCTTGCGGGGTAGACGCGGTCCCCAAACCCCAAGGCTAAAACTGTGAGGGTTCCGGTGGGCAGACAAGTCACACAGACAACTAAGACAAACCCTCAGTGCCGCAATACTGGTCGACCAAACCGAGTATCGCCTAGGTTGGTACACTGTCACAAGTAATAAAAACAAAGACAAAACCCAAACGAGATGGCACAAGCCAAACCGAGTGGGGGGACAGCAGAGCACCCAGATGGAGAGGCTATCTAGCTAGCTGCTCCAAGCTATTGAATAGCTGCTGGTATACTTCTGCGCTAATACACTCTAACATAGAGCTCTTACCAAGCGAATCCTCTCTGGAATGAGCAGAGAAAAGGAAGAGGTGGAAGTAGTGCGGCAGCAGCTATTTAAGGGGGTCAGCCACAGCATCAGCACTACCCGGTACACGGGACTAATCTGAAATCCTACATAACTGAACTGAGACTGAGGGCAGGAGCGCTGGATTGAACCCTACCTGGAAGCTCAGTGTGAGACATGGAGGGTGAGAGAGGGCCTACAGACTCACAGTTCCCCTCTACAGTGACAGGACCTGCTCTACTCCACTCAGCCAGGACATTTGAGCTGCTTTCATTTGATCAGTATATCCTCAGTCTAGTTCATGCCGGCTGATAGGGAGATGTATGAACATGATATCGGTTGATTAGAAAACTATTTCTTGATTGATTGATTTTCAAATGTTTGAAGATGAGAACTTGCCATTGACACTTTCATTGGACCTCTATACAGTTTGAATCAGAGGAAACAGCAGATATTATTCTTACAATGATAGTAATGTAACAAAATTAAATGTTCCCGTTCCGCAGACCCCTGGGAGTCATTTTTGTCATTTGATAAATTGGTTGTTCTGTTGAATGCCATGACTAAAATGTCCAAAAGATGGCGCTATCCTCTTTAGTCTCATGGGTGTAGTGCGTTCTCTTTCTAAAACATCAAAGACAGAGCAGTTTGGGGAAGACAGATATTTCCTCTATTTGAATTCACTTAGATTGTAACCTCATTCCTGTGCGTGAGTCTGTGTAACCTTCTGTTGTATTGTCTTTCAAGATGTTGCATATGCTGCTTCTGCTTGGATGAAACATGAAATTGCTCAGTGTGCAGACTATTCATGCACAACCTCATGGAACCAGCAGAGGGCATCTGCACATCAACATTGTGACAGTGCTCCGATATTGGTTATTGAAACAGGATTGAAGACCTTGATCATTCATGTGAATGTTCAGTCTTACTTATTTTCCCTGCGTCAAGCTTATTGTATGTTGACGTTAATATTACATTATTCTCATATGCATGGTTAGACAGATGAACAAAATTCCCCAGCACAGACAATACAGTAGCTATAGCCCACATGTTCATGATGATTGTTATCCCTCACGACCCCCTGACTATTGTTGTGCTTCCTGGTCTCCACTTTCTCTGGGCCCTGCCCTTTGTCTCTAATCCCTACTAACACACTCACCTCATCACTGAAGAGCTCTTGTCCTCCTGACCAATCATGGCAAGACTGACAGGCAGTGCCATGGTAACATGGGCCCTTTCTCTGTGTGTGGGCAAAGACACTCATCACATTATCCTCAACAGAGCCATTGGGCTGTTTCCAAGGAAACCAACTACTGCTATGATGCTCAGGTGTTTCTGAGCTGTGAGATAGGCGTTGTGGTCACTGGGTTTGAACTAAGGAGAAAACATAATGTGGTGTATAAGGGTTGGGTTTGGCCTCCTCAACCCCATGCCCAGAAACTGATTATTTCCCTCCCAGACACAGTGTGTACCACAAACACATGTTGGTGCCCTCACCTCAACATCAATGCACCCATCTACATAGTCAACAGTACATTTTATAATAAAGATCAGGCTTGGAGATTGGACACACACACATAGTCCTGTACCTTGGCACGACTACAGCTGCTACCCCAAACAATAGGCCCACTCACACAAACACACACAAACACACAGCAAACAGTACCAGTGTTTGTTCACTGCCCTGCCCCTCTCTCTATTACACACCTGTCTGCTCCAAGTCTCACTCTCCTGAAACTAGTTCATTAGCAGAGAATACATCCATATCTTCAAGACTTTTCCTTTGTAGTGAGATGCTCTGATTCTACTGTAGTCGTCTAGTTGAGTGATGTTGCTTTGGCTCATACTGTTCGTTCTGCTGGAGGGCTGTGAACTAGCTGGGTATGTGAGATTTATTTTGATGTGAGTGGGGAGATGCGTTTGAATGTTAATGCCTGTCTGTGCATGATCCTGTTTGATTATTCAGTAAGAGCATGCCTGCTGGAGTGTCAATGTGGTTATGTGTGAATATTAAAACATTAGCTTGATTATTATGCTGCTGTCTTTTCCACCCAGCTTTGAAATGAAACCAAAGAGAGGAGAGAACACTTTGAAGTCAGGGTTAGATTCAACGGATGACTGAAAGCATGGCAATATTGCACCTCAACTACATGATGATGAGATCAGTCCATAGAGCTTCTTATTAGTGTGAGAATTATCACAGTGGTGTTTAGATTACCTTATAGTGGAGCTGAACAAAGGGACTTCACACTGTCTTTCAGTCTGGTGTAAAGTCATAAACAGGGATAATTAGGTTTCCCCTCTGCTTGGCTCGGCACTACTCTTGGTATCATTCATCTCCCTGCTGTTTAAAATGCAGCTTTTGAAGTGGTATTGGTTTGTTTTCTTAGTCCAGACTCAGATGATATTGTCAGTAGTGTTGGCTCTGATGGTGTATATGTGTGTGTGTGTCTGGTAGAAGCAGATTGCCCTGCTGAGGGCTCTGTGGGAGGAGCAGGTGTCGCCCCAACCCCCCTGATCCTGGTCCATTTCCTGTCCATCTGTATGGGGACACAGGGGGCTCTCAGAGAGACATAGTGGACCCTTTGTGTGCAGCAGAGAAGGAAACCCCAGTTATCTTGTTTTGGGTCTCATCACAAATCTCCTCTACTTAGCTTGAAGTGTACTATGTATCACAGGAGGTTGGTGGCACCTTAATTGGGGAGGACGGGCTCGTGGTAATGGCTGGAGCGGAATAGGTGGAATTGAACACATTGAACACAAATACATCAAACACATGGTTTGATGCCATTCCATTGGCTCCGTTCCAGCCATTATTATTAGACGTTCTCCCTTCAGCAGCCTCCACTGCTATGTATGTAGGCTTACCCACACAGAAACATTCTCACAGTAAAAATACATCAGAGTACCTGAGAGCATTTCATATTTACAGAAACAACACACATGCACACACGCCGAACGCATGCACGCACGCGCACACACACACACACACAGGTTGTTGTATGTGGGGAGATAGCAGATCCAGAGGCTTAGTGAGAGAAGAGGAGTACAACACAACAGAGAATGACGAGAGGCATCATGGAATAATGGAGGAATGAAATAGATGAAGGAATTGTATTACATGCTTCAGCGTACACACACTCACACACTCACCCACGCACGCCTACAGTAATCCTCCCAGTAGTGTTGACTTCATGCCATTTGTAACGGTTGTTTCTCCAGGGCATGGAGTCATGGCAAAGCTCTACTTCTCCTTTTATTGATTCCATTGCACTTTGGAGGTTGTCGTGGAAACCCCAAAGAAAGACATGGCTCTCTCTTGTACTGTACTTGTATTCATTGGTTGGAGGAGGGCCCATCTAGTCATTGAGAGTGGAGTGGAGTACTCTATTTTTCTGTCTTTCTCTTAGGGGAAATTTACACTAGTAAAATATGTCTAGTGAGATCTACCTCTCTTCAACATCAGATTTGCAACTTTTCTGATTACACTAGCCTTGGATGTGTTGTGGCCAAAGCCTGCTTCATGTGTGAGTGCACCTATTATCAATCCCATAAACACCATAATATATAAACCAACAAAATAAGGATAGCAATTCCAACTATACAGGAGCTTCTCATCTAAACCATATTGCACATAGTGTTGCACAATTGATTAATTCAATAATTCACAAATGTGTGGATATTTGAAAAGCCTTTAATTATTTTAATTTGGTTAACAGAGCAAAAATGCTGTCTGGTATTAAGGTAATTATTGCAAGGACATGTGGTGTGGGAGAGCCATTGTCTTTCCACTGTACCACTCAGAGGGGGGTATGTGGTATAGATGTCTCCCACACTACTAGATCTGTCTCTTTACACAACACAGGTATCTCTCCTGGACCTAGTTTGTGCCGTCAAAGTAGTGTAGTGTAAAGAGGCTGTTAGGACACAATTCCTCCTCATGGCCTTCACAAGACTGTCATCCTCAAACAGCTCATTAAACATGTCCTTAGAAGGACAGGATTCTGAACGTGAGCTCAAGCAGAGGGGGATGTTTAACTGCTTCTATTTCCCATTGTACTATTTATTAGGGGGCTTGTCTGAAAGAGTGGTTTCAAGAGAGTTGTGTAATACATGGCAAGTGACGTAATACTCACAATCCTGAATCAGGCTGCATCAGAATCACAATGTTCAATATGCAATGCTAAATCCCAAGAAAGTATCATAATGTTCAATATGCAATGCTAAATCCCAAGAAAGTATCATAAGCTTATGTATTGTAAACAAATGTATTATTATTTGAAACATGTACAAATGTATGTATATTTGTACTCAAATTCAATAGGCAGATACCACACCCAGAATATGTAACTTCTATCCTGTTAGCTTAATTAAACTGAAACTCTTACTAAAGTGTTGCCCATTCTGTCTGTGTGTGTATCCTGTGTGTATGACTGTGTGTGTGTGTGTGTGTTCAGGCTGTCTGTTTATGTGGTCTGATCAGTGTGTCTTTGTGTGTCCTCTCTCCTTCACAGTCACACCAGAGGCCATCGGCTTCCTGTCTGCGGTAGGTGTCTTTGTGGTGTTTCTGGCCGTCCTCTTCCTCTTCATCAATAAGAAGCTGTGTTTCTCCCGCGTTGGGGGTCTGCCCTGTCTGGAGCAGCATGGCCGCGGTAAACGCTCCCGCAGCAGGCCCGGAGTCCGCCAAGGGCTGGGTGAGTGGACTGGCATGGCGCCTGGGGCTGGGGGATATGGGAGGCAGAGGGGTGGGGTCTATCTGCTTTCTGGGTCCTGAGGTAGGGGTTTCTGGTATTGGGTGACCAGTTGTAGGGGTGGGTCCTGGGATGGAGACTGGAGGTGAGAGACTGTCAGTGGGGAGGGTGCGAGGCTAATGCAGGGAGACAGGTAGGAGGCCAGAGAGTGGCTGGGTGGGGAAAATATGTTATATTCATGTCATTCACTCTCTTCCTTTCTTCTCACAAATTGTAGAAATGCTGTCACTTTATCTTGAAACATACGGTAGTAGAACAATCACACCCCTTAATGCTAATCATTCAGTCAGGGAGGAGGCTGTGCTTTGTTCTTCATTAGTCAAACACTCTGCAAATATTTCCCATAATCCCCAGGTAAACGTTAGGCTCTCTGTGGTTGGACAGGGAGGTGTTCTTGGCTCTGGTATTTCCTGGTCGTTTAGTCCCTTGAGCAAACATCTCCTGCTTGGATAGGCAGAGTCAAGAGTTTCGGCTGATACTGTATTCAAGTCAGCAGTTGCAGTCATGTCACTCTGAAGTAACATTACTTTACGGTGCGCTGTTACGAGATGAAGCGAGATGATCCTGTATCGGAGATCCTTTCTTTGAAAGGATGGTTCGTCCAGGTATCGGAGTCTTTGTCTGCGGCCCTCCTATCCACGGGCCAGGGACCGGGCCAGGCTAGGGAGTCTCAGGGAGTGTCTGCTGACCCAGCACCCACACCAGGAGACACCCAGGAGGTGTCTGATCCCTCAGAGCTCCAGGAGGACTTAGGGCCCCAGACCTCCAGGGCTGTTGTGTCCTCCATGGACCCCCAGCAGAGGCTACAGGCCCTCCAGGCTCAGCTGGCCCTACGGGGCCTGAGTAGGCCTAGCAGCTCCTGTTCTGGGGCTGCCCCATCTGCAGAGCGTCTGTCTATCATACCCGAGGAGAGTGAGGTGGTGGGGAGCAGGGTGAGCTGGGCAGCCTCACGGCACTCCAGTAAGGCTGGCACAGCAGGTAAAGCGTTTATCTTTCATCACACTGGGTGGGTCAATATCAGAAGTAGATTCAGTCTGTTATACTGTGAATCCTCACTGTACTGATGTGTGTTTCACAGGAAGGATGGTTAGAATACGTGTGTAAGTGCATGGGTGACAGATACACACAGACCTCTGAGGGATGCAAACACACACACACACACTTGCACACACACACACACACACACACACTGTTGAGTAAGAGTTGTATGGATCTCTGCTCTACTGTAGGCACTTGAGAGTGGCCTACTTTTAGACGTGAGCTCTGAGAATGGCCATCTAAATGAACTCTCCAACGTGTGCTACTCTCATTGTCATTCACTTCAGGAGTGGCCCTCCACCATATTCATGTGTATACATTGATGGCTGTGTTTGTGCAGCTCTCTGTGACTGCACCTACAGGTCTTCTCAGCATTGTGGAGATGAACCTTCTCACTGCGTTTTCTCTCTCGCATCTTGCAGTGCGGTCAAAAGAGCATGACTCAAATATGTTTTTTTTAATGGCAACCTGCTTTGAGGGTTCTTCTGTGCACTCTGTAGGCTTTAGGGAAGTAATGAGGGCTCTGCAGGAATAACTATTAGGATGTAATAAAGGTCCTGAGTCGAGGAACGATAAGCCTTGGAGTGATTGATCTAGTGGTGGAGTACTGAGGTTGGAGTGGCGGGAAGCTGCGGTCAGTATCTTCCAGTAGTGATGACTGTGTGATAGGGTTGAATATTTTCCCGGTATTTTACAAATGTTCCATCCCGAGAATAAATCACTTTTCTCCCATGTAACCAAGTATTTCCCACCAAAACCGGAAGTGTCATTCAAAAGCATTATAAAGCATATACAGATGTCTGGATTTAATTAGAGCTATGATCAACATGAAAATTCAAACCTGATGCTACCTGAGCATGATAAGCCAAATATTAAATACATTTTATGAGCCCTACATTAAAGACATTTAATGAGCCCAAGCGCAAAAAATTCCAAATTATTGTGCTATTATCCAATACATAATATGATATAGGCTACTGCACATTACGCAAGACAGAAAAACATAAAAGCCCATAGATGTAGCTAGCTATATGCTCTCTTGGGTAAATAAATGAACCTAGCTCCAGTAGGCTAATCTTTTTAAGTGTGAACTGTATTACTGTACTGTATTTTATTATACTGTATTATATGGACTGGAATTAGGCCTACGCACATTGTTCAAACCATGATAAAGCAGAAGAGAACATGTGATTCTGGTGCAGCACATGTGGCCTACAAAGTTACAAGTGTAGGCTAGCGAATTTGATTTTCATTTTGAAATATAATAGGACCTATTTGTATAATTAGTAGACTGATGCATATATACAGTGGGGAGAACAAGTATTTGATACACTGCCGATTTTGCAGGTTTTCCTACTTACAAAGCATGTAGAGGTCTGTAATTTTTATCATAGGTACACTTCAACTGTGAGAGACGGAATCTAAAACAAAAATCCAGAAAATCACATTGTATGATTTTTAAGTAATTAATTTGCATTTTATTGCATGACGGCTCTCGGTACTGCAGCCCTGGAGACGCGTTGAACACAAGACATGTGCAGGGCCACAGGAAATCAATCAGCGGCCTCTCGCCCACTCACTAGAGCCATCCTGGGTTACCATGGTGATGGATGGTTCAGGTAAAGAGGGTGGTGTTGTACTGGGTGACCTACACTGATGAGGGAGACGGGGCCAGAGACATGTGATACATCTCCATTACAGCCTCAATCAATCTGTCAACAGACACTTAGATAACCAAGTTACTGTCTGTCTCTCTGTCCATCACTGGTGGAACTAATGGTGTTCAGATTAAATGCTTTGTTTTTAGAGGGAGAGAGTGTATGAAAGGATAACAGGTGACAGCTAATGTGTTTTGTAATGCTATGGGGATGTACAGCTGGCACTTCTCTCCTACTCTCCTTGTTCTGGTTCCATAGCATGGTAGATCACTGACTGACACTAAAGTCCCAGTCCTCCAACACTCACCTAGTTCATGACTGTAGTCTTATCTGCCAGGTACAATCTAATTTCGATATGCGGGTCGTGCTTGTGATCGTTTTATCAAATGTTCTTTGAATTCATTTCTGTGTTTGCAGTAGTTTTAATAATCACACATATTGATGTGATCATGTTCACATTGTTTTTATTTATGTTTCTCTCTCCTCTCCTCTCCTCTCCTCTCCTCTCCTCTCCTCTCCTCTCCTCTCCTCTCCTCTCCTCTCCTCTCCTCTCCTCTCCTCTCCTCTCCTCTCCTCTCCTCTCCTCTCCTACTATAATCATTAGGTTCCATAGTAGCTCTCCTGCCTGCACCTTCTCTCCTTCTCTTTTTGAACTCTGTATTCCCTGTGTGTGTGTTTGTGTGATCTCTGGTCCATCCAGTGAACAGCTACGGGGATGGTGAGGATCAGTCCAGCTCATCGGATAGTGAGGACGAGATAGTGAAGCAGTTTGAGATCTCCGTGTCTCGCTCTCAGAGCCTCCGCTCTACAGGGCCCACCAGGGTTGTAGCCCAGGCTGCACCGGGAAAACGCCACAAGTTCACCCGCCTACTCTCTGACCAGGAGGAGGGCAGCACAGAGCCCTCAGACTGCGAAGGTACACACACACACACACATACATAACGCATACAGAGACACACATTCTGACACAGTACAGATGTAGGAGCTTAATTGGATCACCCTGTTGCAGGATAACTTTCTTGCAATGCAGGACATTTAAAACTTCTAGTATATTTGAGGTTTAAAAAGGCTTCTGAAGTTTGTAATTTCCACTTTGACATTTCAGACTTGATTTTCCCTTATGAAAAATGTATCAAGCCCTACAAAACCTTCCATTAATTATAATCCACATAATAATTCACATTTCCTGTAGCTGCAGGATTAACTTCCTGCTGTAGCAAACTGGCTCAAAATTAGATCCTACATCTGTACACACACTCAAAACATGTCCTCCACAAAACAAAGTGCGTACAGGGGGATCCTCTAATCTGAACCAATGGGATGTAAATGATCAACCCACTGCTCCAGAGCCCAAAAATAACATTTAATCACAGACTACTGTCTGTAAAGATCTCAGGCTAAGCTTGATTGGCCCACTCTGTGACGGATCAACACAGAGATAGTCAGATAGTGCTCTGGGTCTTAGATTAATTAGTGACTTGTTTGGACTCAAATGGTGGCTGGTGTCTTAGACACACTATAAGAAGGATCAGTGTAAGTGGTGACAGTAGACGCAGGCATTATACAGATGTCATGGTCCTGGAAGATACAGTGCCTTGCAAAAGTATTCATCCCCCTTGGCATTTTTTCCTATTTTGTTGCATTACAACTTGTAATTTAATGGATTTTTATTTGGATTTCATGTAATGGACATACACAAAAAATATTCCAAATAGGTGAAGTGAAATGAAAAAATTCAAAAAAATAAATAATGGAGAAATGGTGCGTGCATATGTATTCACCCCATTTGCTATGAAGCCCCTAAATAAGATCTGGTGCAAACAATTACCTTCAGAAGTCACATAATTAGTTAGATTGCACACAGGTGGACTTTATTTAAGTGTCTCATGATCTGTCACATGATCTCAGTATATATACACCTGTTCTGAAAGGCCCCAAAGTCTGCAACACCACTAAGCAAGGGGCACCACCAAGCAAGCGGCACCATGAAGACCAAGGAGCTCTCCAAACAGGTCAGGGACAAAGTTGTGGAGAAGTACACATCAGGGTTGGGTTATAAAAAAATATCTGAAACTTTGAACATCCCACAGAGCACCATTAATTCCATTATTAAAAAATTGAAAGAATATGGCACCACAACAAACCTGCCAAGAGAGGGCTGCCCACCAAAACTCATGGACCAGGCAAGGAGGGCATTAATCAGAGAGGCAACAAAGAGACCAAAGATAACCCTGAAGGAGCTGCAAAGCTCCACAGTGGAGATTGGAGTATCTGTCCATAGGACCACTTTAAGCCATACACTCCACAGAGCTGGGCTTTACGGAAGAGTGGCCAGAAAAAAGCCATTGCTTAAAGAAAAAAATAAGCAGATGAGACTAAAATTGAGCTTTTTGGCAATCAAGGAAAATGCTATGTCTAGCGCAAACCCAACACCTCTCATCACCCCGAGAACATCATCGGCAGGGACTGGGAAACTGGTCAGAATTTAAGGAATGATGAGATGGCGCTAAATACAGGGAAATTATTGAGGGAAACCTGTTTCAGTCTTCCAGAGATTTGAGACTGGGACGGAGGTTCACCTTCCAGCAGGACAATGACTCTAAGCATACTGCTAAAGCAACACTCAACTGGTTTAAGGGGAAACATTTAAATGTCTTGGAATGGCCTAGTCAAAGCCCAGACCTCAATCCAATTGAGAATCTGTGGTATGACTTAAAGATTGCTGTACACCAGCGGAACCCATCCAACTTGAAGAAGCTGGAGCAGTTTTGCCTTGAAGAATGGGCAAAAATCCCAGTGGCTAGATGTGCCAAGCTTATAGAGACATACCTCAAGAAACTTGCAGCTGTAATTGCTGCAAAAGGTGGCTCTACAAAGTATTGACTTTGGGGGGGTGAATAGTTATGCACGCTCAAGTTCTTTTTTTGGGTATTATTTCTTGTTTGTTTCACCCAAAAAAATATAATAATAATAATATAATAATATGCCATTTAGCAGACGCTTTTATCCAAAGCGACTTACAGTCATGCGTGCATACATTTTTTTGCATCTTCAAAGTGGTAGGCATGTGGTAGGCATGTTGTGTAAATCAAATTATACAAACCCCCCAAATATCAATTTTAATTCCAGGTTGTAAGGCAACAAAATAGGAAAAATGCCAAGGGGGGTGAATACTTTCGCAAGCCACTGTAAGGGGGGATTTACCCACCCAACCCCCTCTTCCACCACTAGTTACTGGTACATAAAGAATACAGATAAAGTCTAAGTGTTCATCAAAGCCCCTATTAGATGCATTGGAGGCCCCTGGCATTATGAATTCCCTGACCATGCCTACATCTTTCTTTCATTTAATTAAATTGTTTTATTGAACAAAGAGTCCATTTGTTTGTATGACTGACATCCTGTCATGGGGGTTCACAATGCCTCAGTGACTCATAATAACTACCTGGTCCTTAGCACATTTCCTTCCTCCAGCCAGCATGTGACTGGTGGTTTTATGATATAACTACTGGTTTGATTGAACCTGGGAACACACAACACACACTGATGAGTCACACTGTGCCCTGTTGCCATGGTAATAACTATCTGTAGTCATTGATATAACAGTCGGTCTGCCCTTAATGATACTGAATTGGAGTTAATTGCCATTGATCAGCTCATGGTGCAGCCCTGTACCAGCCACCCTAATTGAAGGAACAGGTTTTTGAAAAGTTATGCAATTTCTATTCAAACAGGAGGCTTGGTATTGCTTATGTTTATAACATGCATTCAATGACTATGTCATACACACAGGGCTGGCTTGTATCTCATATCCCAAGGATGTTTCATGATAATGTTTCATTACAGAAGTCTGTTCTGTCTGATATGTTTATTAAGGGAAGTCTGTTCCGTTGCACACTGAGTGTGTGCTGTATGTTTCCATGTGACATTGTGTCTTTATGAAGCCCTGTTGTGATCGTCCCCAGACGTGGACGGAGACGTGAGCAGGCTGAGTTACCAGAACCCCCTATCGTATGGGGATGAGAAGCGGGGCTCCCTGGGGTCCCAGGAAACGGCTGAGGGTCTGGACGGCCCACCACGGGAGGGCTCGCTGGACACAGGGGGAAGCCCGGCCCCCAACATGAGTCGCCAGGCCACCGAGAGGAGCCTTGAGATGGAGACAGCCGTGGACAACCAGGGTGATGACAACAACGACCCCACAGACAGCGCCTCCACATGGAGCCCAGAGGTACTGTAGTCAACGAGCTCCCGCTGTCACCTTGGGCTTGGTGAACCAAGGTTTCCTGATCAAGTTATAGGTTCAGGAAACAATCCTAGCCCTACTAATAACATACAGTAGCTTTGCTATACAGAGAAGCAGAGTTTCTTATCAAGGGAAATGTTGGTTAAGAGGCAGCCATGTCCATCATGCCATACTGATGAGGAACCTGAAGATGTTTTGCATTTGTCCCACAGTTTTTTCCTGTCAGATTAATTTTCGACATACCAAGACAAGGCTGACATGAGGCCCAGGGGCACATTGGAAACAGTACATAACTCCTTCCTTTTGCCTCATAAATATTGATGAAATGTGGCACAACCTGTTGCTGTAAAGTGTTACTGAGTGTTGCTAATGCTTGCATAAGCGTTGTGTTAGTGTGTTACTGTGCTAAAGCACTAATGTGTCATGATTGATTTAGGCGCCCAGTTGGAGTGAGGTGAGAGCGAGTGGGCAAGTGATGCTGGCTAGCACTGCAGGCTTCCATTTCACTGTCTGCCCAGACCCAGGCCCAGATGTGCTTTTATGACAGCTTGTCTCTGTCTCTGTCTCTGTCTCTGTCTCTGTCTCTGTGTATGATTGTGTGAGTGAAATGGGGAGCAATCTGTGCATGAGTATCCCACTAACTGTTTTCATCTTTTATCCAACTCACTTTCTCACATAGAACAACACATACAGATACACGTGAATGAAAGCAAATTGTTAACATAATTGTATATTGTTTGTTTTGTATCATTTGAGTCGTGGCTAACATTGAAAGTCAGGTTGTCATGTCAGTGAATGTAGGGAGTGTGGGGGAGGGATATAGCTTGAAGAAGCGCATGTCGCCTGATCTGTGCAGTATATTGTAGCTGCCACTACGAATACCTTAGCTGTGATCCGTGGTTGCCGTGCCAACACCAACACTCCGCCTGCTCTGTCAACATGGTGACACAATCGATGCTGTGTTTACTGACCGCATGAAGAGCTGCTTGGCTGGTGTAAATGTTCTCTTCAACGGCATCCTCTGTCTTTGCCTGATACACACACAGCAAAATACAGTATATTCATTCAAGTGATTAGAATTATGACATTGCTGACTATTTCATTTGTTGGTTTCTCTCAAGGAGCATATATCAGTAACTTTCTGTGTTGAACTCTGTGTGTTTTCTGTTTCCCCTCCTCTCAGCAGGAGCATCCTCCTGTGGAGGAGGTCCTCTCTTGCCCCCCTAGCTCCACCTCACACCCCCCTATCACCAAATGTGGTGACCTCGAGGTCACCCTGGACTACAAGGCCGCCTCTCAGAAGCTGTTTGTTACCGTTGTGACCGCGCGGGACATCCCAGACAAAGGGCGCAGTGGGATGGACTCGTGGCAGGTGCACGTGGTCCTGCTCCCGGCAAAGAAGCAGCGCCATAAAACCTCCGTCCAAAAGGGGTCCGTGCCTGAATTCAATGAGACCTTCCGCTTTTCACATCTGGAGCCCTCGGAGCTGGGTGCCTCTGCCCTGCGCTTCCGCCTCTACGCCCTGGGGGGCCGGATGTCCCGCGAGCGCATGATGGGGGAGAAGGTGGTCCGCCTTGGGGAGCTGAGCCCAGAGGGGGGAGAGATGGAGACCATGCTAGTGCTGGAGCCCCGCAGCAACATGAAGGTGAGAGAATAGACCTCCAACATCTCCCAAAGACACAACAAAACACTGCTAACATGTTACTGTATACGATGTAAACATATGCTGTATGTGTGTGTCTTTCTCCTGTGCTCCAGAGTGTTGACTCTCAGGTCAGTCTAGTTGGGGTGTCCCAGAGTGACAGTGCATCCTCCACCCAGTCTCTGACCCACGGGGGCGTCCCTGAGCTGCTGGTGGGCCTGTCCTACAACGCCACCACCGGACGCCTCTCTGTGGAGCTCATCAAGGGAAGCCACTTCCGCAACCTGGCCATCAACAGGCCGCCCGGTGAGCAAACACACTCACACACGCCCATGTTTACCATCATACATACAGACTATCAGATTGTAAGGGCTATTGCAAAGTTCCAATTCGCCACTTGATGCATGAGTGATGTTTTTGACGCCCTAATCAGAAGAGACTGGTAGGAGGAGCTACAGGAGGACGGGCTCATTGTAATGGCTGGAATGGAATTAATGGAAAGGAGTCAAACGTGGTTTCCATATACCATTCCAGCCATTACAAGGAGCCCATCCTCCTATAGCTCCTCCCACCAGCCTCCTCTGCCACTAATGATTTTATTTTAGTTCATTAGGACTAAATTATGTAATGTCCAGACTTAGATATACTGTTGGGTGATGTAATTAATAAATGATTGATGACTTGATGATTTACCATGGTGGTTATGGTTTGTGGTTGAGTAATCTGTGTTAAAGGCAATCTTGTGAATAGTGGTAAAAAAACATGTGAATCTACTGTTCACCCATGCATGACCACTACCTGGTTACCTGTGACCTTATACACCTGACCCATAACCTCAGTGAGACTGTTCTAGTGGTGAGAAATGACAGCCCAAAACAGACAACAAAACTAGACAAACATACACCAGTGGAGGCTGCTGAGGGGAGGACGGCTCATAACAATGGCTGGAACGGAGCGAGTGGAATGGCATCAAACCATTTGTTTGATGTATTTGATACTGTTCCACTCATACCGCTCCAGCCATTACCACAAGCACGTCCTCCCCAATTAAGGTGCCACCAACCTCCTGTGACATACAGTGGGGAAAAAAAGTATTTAGTCAGCCACCAATTGTGCAAGTTCTCCCACTTAAAAAGATGAGAGAGGCCTGTAATTTTCATCATAGGTACACGTCAACTATGACAGACAAATTGAGGGAAAAAAAATCGAGAAAATCACATTGTAGGATTTTTTATGAATTTATTTGCAAATTATGGTGGAAAATAAGTATTTGGTCACCTACAAACAAGCAAGATTTCTGGCTCTCACAGACCTGTAGGCTCCTCTGTCCTCCACTCGTTACCTGTATTAATGGCACCTGTTTGAACTTGTTATCAGTATAAAAGACACCTGTCCACAACCTCAAACAGTCACACTCCAAACTCCACTATGGCCAAGACCAAAGAGCTGTCAAAGGACACCAGAAACAAAATTGTAGACCTGCACCAGGCTGGGAAGACTGAATCTGCAATAGGTAAGCAGCTTGGTTTGAAGAAATCAACTGTGGGAGCAATTATTAGGAAATGGAAGACATACAAGACCACTGATAATCTCCCTCGATCTGGGGCTCCACGCAAGATCTCACCCCGTGGGGTCAAAATGATCACAAGAACGGTGAGCAAAAATCCCAGAACCACACGGGGGGACCTAGTGAATGACCTGCAGAGAGGTGGGACCAAAGTAACAAAGCCTACCATCAGTAACACACTACGCCGCCAGGGACTCAAATCCTGCAGTGCCAGACGTGTCCCCCTGCTTAAGCCAGTACATGTCCAGGCCCGTCTGAAGTTTGCTAGAGTGCATTTGGATGATCCAGAAGAGGATTGGGAGAATGTCATATGGTCAGATGAAACCAAAATATAACTTTTTGGTAAAAACTCAACTCGTCGTGTTTGGAGGACAAAGAATGCTGAGTTGCATCCAAAGAACACCATACCTACTGTGAAGCATGGGGGTGGAAACATCATGCTTTGGGGCTGTTTTTCTGCAAATGGACCAGGACGACTGATCCGTGTAAAGGAAAGAATGAATGGGGCCATGTATCGTGAGATTTTGAGTGAAAACCTCCTTCCATCAGCAAGGGCATTGAAGATGAAACGTGGCTGGGTCTTTCAGCATGACAATGATCCCAAACACACCGCCCGGGAAATGAAGGAGTGGCTTCGTAAGAAGCATTTCAAGGTCCTGGAGTGGCCTAGCCAGTCTCCAGATCTCAACCCCATAGAAAATCTTTGGAGGGAGTTGAAAGTCCGTGTTGCCCAGCGACAGCCCCAAAACATCACTGCTCTAGAGGAGATCTGCATGGAGGAATGGGCCAAAATACCAGCAACAGTGTGTGAAAACCTTGTGAAGACTTACAGAAAACGTTTGACCTGTGTCATTGCCAACAAAGGGTATATAACAAAGTATTGAGAAACTTTTGTTATTGACCAAATACTTATTTTCCACCATAATTTGCAAATAAATTCATTAAAAATCCTACAATGTGATTTTCTCATTTTGTCTGTCATAGTTGACGTGTACCTATGATGAAAATTACAGGCCTCTCTCATCTTTCTAAGTGGGAGAACTTGCACAATTGGTGGCTGACTAAATACTTTTTTCGCCCACTGTACACCCTATCAAAATGGCTCTTAAACAGTATGCACCCTCATGCAATCATGACTTAGTCAATCGTACTTTTTTTGTTTATCCCTCCTCACTTCATTACCTCTATCTTTGCCTCTCTCCTTTCTTTCTGTCTCTCTCCCTCAGACACCTATGGGAAGCTGACTCTGCTCAACTCGGTGGGCCAGGAGATCTCCAGGTGTAAGACGTCAGTGCGGCGGGGGCAGCCCAACCCTGTCTACAAGGAGACCTTTGTGTTCCAGGTCGCCCTGTTCCAGCTGTCTGACGTCACCCTCATGGTGTCCATCTACAACCGCCGCAGCATGAAGCGTAAGGAGATGGTGGGCTGGCTCGCCCTGGGCCAGAACAGCAGCGGGGAGGAGGAGCAGCTGCACTGGCTGGACATGAAGGAGTGTAAAGGCCAGCAGGTCTGTCGCTGGCACGTCCTCCTGGAAGCCTAGAAGCCAGGATGGAGAGGAGAGGACGGGAAGGAATCCCCACCACTTACCCAGTCATTAAGGGCCCAATTCCGACTTAGGAAATTACGCCTTTCTTACTCACTACTTTCCTACGCACTTCTCAGTAGTTGGTATTCAGACTTACCTTATGAAGGTGCGAACAGGGCTTTGCAGGCGTGGTTCCCTTGCACGTGCTGAATACATGTAATTCAACCACTGAAAACCCTCGCACTTCCTGGCCAACAGATTTTCATTCAATAGGGGTTTCAGTACATTTATCTTAAGCCATCTCTTTAAATACGGTCTACCTTGTAGTTTGAATTTTGTCGAAAGACTCAATAGAATATATCGAGAAAACAGGTTCAGAATATTACGGATCAATGATAGAAGGCCATCTAAATATATGCATATTCGTCTCTGTTTCAGCACCAATTGGTAGATTTAAAGATACTCTGATCTTGTAAATAATTTAGGGCTAGGAAAGTATTTATTAATCATAAAAAACAGGTTTAGAGAGCCTTTACACACAAAAGAAAGAAAACGGTGGTTTGATTCATTCTTTAAATTGTTAACCCATGGTAATGTTGGAAGATTAGTGTACATATAATTATAATAGGGAGAATAGTGTACAATAGTAGGCTATAACCTTGTCTATTGCCTGCACTAAAATGGAACTGTGTGATGACACAGCCAAGTATTGTGCCATGCGACACTTACGGCTTGGTCTGCGCCCTGATCCATAATGATTTAATTAGCCTACATATCTTTTTTTAAATATTATCAACTGTTACTAATGATCCTCAGCAACAACCACACGGCCGTGACAGCATTTACAGAGGAAGCAAATGAAGGTAAATGAAACGATGTCATTAAATGGAATGATAATGTAGGCTATACCAACTGAAGGGAACTAACAGTAAATTGCCAGGACAATATGTGTTGTTATTAGGCCATTTTTCTCCCCAATTTTGTGGTATCCAATTGGTAGTTACAGTCTTGTCCCATCGCTGCAACTCCCGTACGGACTCGGGAGTGGTGAAGGTTGAGAGCCGTGCGTCCTCCGAAACACAACCCAACCGAGCCGCACTGCTTCTTGACACAATGCCCACTTAACCAGCCGCACCAATGTGTCGGAGGAAACACTGTACACCTGGCGACCGTGTCAGCGTGCACTGCGCCCGGCCCGCCACAGGAGTCGCTAGTGCGCGATGGGACAAGAACATCCCTGCCGGCCGAACCCTCCCCTAACCTGGACGACGCTGGGCCAATTGTGCGCCAACCATGGGTCTCCCAGTCGCGGCCTTAGACCACTGCGCCACTCGGGAGGCATAGTGTCTAATATTTAACATGATAGAAATAGGAAACAGAGAAAGTCAGGGTAGCCTATAATTAAGACATTCGAGAGTGCCCATCCCTGCAAGTTAAAAAGCCGTACAATTTAAATTCTGCATAATGGCACAGCATTTCATAAACTTTACTGTGGGAAAGTTGTTGATATGCTTCAGTTTGCTGCCATATTACTGGTTTCACATTTGTTTCCAGCGATTATAAGGTAAAATATATCTAAAACAAGTGTAATTATATATACAATTCCCTTATCCAAATGGATTACTAATTTACCTAGCTGTAATCAATAGCTCTTATCAAGTTGTAAATTAAAGTGCATGGAGAATGGTGTTATTTATTTTTGAAAAAATTAAGTAGATGCTTTTTCCACTTGGAACTGGCAGGTTCGCTAGACCTTATTCATAGTTTCCTAGCGCGTAAAGGTGATGAAATTATCAGGGAATTAAGTCAAGGTCAGAATACGGTGTATAAGTAGACACACCTCTGCCACACCTTCATTTATTAGAGCTCCACCTCAAACGAATAGTGAGTGGGTGAATAGCACGCTATTCTCATGCTTAAATTCAAGGTCAGAATATGCATAGAGAGAAAAGCACATAAAAAGGGAATTATGTTCCATTTATGCGTGCTTAACTCGGGTCGGAATCGGGCCCCTAGTTACTAAGCTGGTTGTTCCCTATGAGTGGAGGGAGTTATCCTGTCCCCAGACAGACACCTGCTCTGTGTAGGCAGGAGAGCCTCAACACAACTACTGCTGCCCCATCATGAGTACAATCTACAACCTACAGCCCCACACACCTGTTTACACCATTGATGAGCAAAAAATATGACATAGCAAACAAATAGCAAAAAAAACAAAAACAAAGTGCTTCAATTATGCCGATATGGATATACAGAAATATAAATTGTTGCGTTTATTCGATGGGTTTTTATAAGTTTCAACTCAGAAAAGGTTATTGAGTATTGGTTTCAACTATAGTTACATTGTGTCGCCACAGACAGCTAGATGAAGTTTGGTTGGTCTTCTCTGTATATCCGCTATGAAGATGTCAAACATTGTATCATACAAAAATGAGTATACTGTTATGATTGTCCAAGGACAATGGTTTTTGATGAATTACTATAGTACTTTATTCAGCCACACTTCAAGGTGAAGAATACAAATATTTTAGAATGATTTCTTCCTTCATGAGGGAAAGGGAGACTGAAATCTTTGTGATTTTGTATCATTCCAAACACAGCCTACATTTAATAATTTGGATTTCAAACAGTTTTGATAGATTTCTTCCTGCTTTCTACTTTCCTAGGATTTGAAACTGTATAGTTTAGGGTAATTTCACATTGAATGAGCATTTAGTTCTTTATCACACGTTTTGGTATCTTCATCTACAACTTTTACTCATTCTCTCTACTTCTCCTCTCTTACTGTAAGACATGACCTGCTCTAAGACATACAGCTAAAGGACTCAACTCTATTTGACGAGAACATCCGTCCTCTCTGTCTGACAGATTCAGTCTCTTCATTTAGTGGCCCTTTCTTAGTGACTTCCCAGGGTAAAGTTCGTTTCAACAGCCATCCATGCTGAGATGAAAAGAGGCTTTAAGTATCCCAGTGCATCTGTTAATAACATCATGCCATGAATGACCCTCCCTGGCAGTGTATTATTTTTCTCTGCTAATTGGTAGTTACAGTCCTTGGACCATACAGTGTGATGATTATGATGATTCTAATACTCACGGCCAAGTCTGCCTCAGCTTCATTATATCCTATGGCAGTAGCCGCTTTTGGATGATTACACACATTACACACCCTAGGTCGAGGGCTTCTCACACCAAGGAGGATGGGGATTTTTAAAGCAACTGTATTCCTACTAAGCATCTTTTGCAAAGCACCTCTCCCTGGACAGCAGTTTACTGGCCTTCTAGTCCACTGGTCTTCAACCTTAGTGTACCTACAGTTCAGTCAGGATCGGACTAGTAGACTCCTATGGGGCCTGTCTGATTAACTCTATCTAAGCAGTCATTGATTGTTCAGTGAAGTACTGATGTGGAATGTAAATCAGCATTATTCTCTGCCATTTGAGTTAATTATCCATGGTCCATGACCTGTGGGGTGTTATGGAGTATTGAACCTGCAACCTTCACAACCACTCTGTTTTCCTGGATAGACAACAGATGTAATTAGGTCCCTTGGTTTGCACAGGGGAATCATACTCTTAATCAAACACCAGGGTTTGACTCAATTAGAGAGCTGTGCTACATATGAGCATGTCCATTTCCTCCAATCAAACGAATCACCCCTACATCACATATGGAATTCTTCCAATGAGAAGATTGGATGGAGAAATATATTTGAGCTTTCTTGGAACTGAATGGCTGTCTTGGAATTGCCCATGTTGGTCAAACGTTTACATTTGTATCAAAGGTTAAAACCACTTTTTTTCACTTTTAGCGAAACATTGACTTAGTAAGTAACTGATTCAGGGAAGAGTATGGCACTGTGTTTGATGATGAGCTTTTCATTACAAGATGACAAGCTATGAATGCCACAGTTGGAGAGACTTTCCTCTGCTCTGTAGGTTAACTATAAACTAACCTGATATGACAGGTAGGTGCAGTTCATGTCATGTTTATAACACAGGTTTGTATGGTTAATGACTTGACCAATGATTCAGTTCACTTGTTACCCAGAATGACCATTAAATTGATAAGTGTTATTTACTGTACTGGCTGAACCAATTATGATGTATTGTATGCATGTCAAGACTTGCTGTACATAATCCCTCTATATTTTTGACATTTTAAATGTTCAAGACGTCCTCTGAAATATGTTACTACTACAGCATGTTTGTTTTCAGCTTCCACACAGTGAGATTCTAATGAAGTGCCTGTATCGTAAGGGTAAAGATTGATGCCTGTATCGTAAGGGTAAAAGTTGATGCCTGTATCGTAAGGGTAAAAGTTGATGCCTGGATGGGGTGAAATTGATCATAATAATCAATGCATAAAATGAGCATGAGTGTATAGTCAACCATGTTTGATGTTCCTGTGAGATGCAGCTGTATGCACGGACTGTTGATTTGTTCTCATGCCTATATACACAGTGCCTGCACCATGCATGCAAAGAATGACAATAGTACTTTTGTACATACCGGTTGGTATTAGTTTTCTTCTTGCTAATAAAATAAAGATCCATGCCATCTGGTTTTTAAGTCTTCTTTCTGAGTGTGTTTGTTAAGATGCCTTAATTCTGAGAATGAATGTGTCTTAATGATGGTCATCAACAGCACACAGTGGGTCCCATAGTGTGAAAGGTTTTCAGTTGTAATACCTCCTGAAATCATCAAGCTCACAGGCAGGATTACGAAAGATTAGGAATATAATATTTTGGTTTCTAAGTGTTTTTGGATGAGATAAATGAAAACCAGCAGATGCTTGATTTAGTTAATAATTCCAGGTTTTAGAGGGGGAAAAGAGAGCTCTGTGTTTTGTATATAAGCCAAGTTGAATAGTGCACTATTGTTTATTTCTCATATCTGGGCTATCATAGCAGCTGTAAAAAGGTTAGGCCTACATTTAAATCAGACATAAAATAATTACTGATCCAGTAATAGGTTGCCCATACACCCAAGTAGAGAGAGAGACACCCAGGTATAGATAGAGAAAAAGAGAACCAAGGAGCACATTGAGAGGATGTGAGAATAATGGAGCCTGATGATGAAGCGTCATCATTGCCTAGTGACTC